ATCTAAGGCTGGCGGGACAGCATATATCTCTTTTACGGCCTTATTTCTGGAGTACACTTTTTTAGAAACTCTTTTTTTTCAACCTCATTTGTTAAAAGGGCACGAGGAAAATGTCTGCAACTTTTATGTGAATAGATTTTTTTCTGTAATTATTCAAGCAGTAAAACAAATGGTTTGTTTGTTTTCAGCCGCTCAGACACGAGGAAGTGCTGCTTTTCTTTTCCAATACTTTATAACCCTTGTGAACAAGTTATACATTAACTGACTGAACCAATAATTAATAGCTATTCTTTGATTTGATTTTCTTCCCATTGAATCAGACGGGTGTTTCTATTCTGTGAAAATGCTGAGCTCGTAAATAAGGGAAGTGAAAACCCAAGTAGCCACGAGTTCAACGGGCTAATTGAGGCTTTGAGTACAAACACCCGGGTTTCACCCTCAAGTTGTCCCATCAACTTCACAGCTGACCTTCCATTAACCGTGACACCTTCCTGTGCTCCTCCTCCGCTCGACTCTGCTGCTGGGCCGAAGGACGTCACGCTTCTCTGTGCATGCTTTGCACACACGCGTGCAGGAATGAATATAAGAGCTCAGTATCGACGGGAGACATTGACACCGGCTGCCAGGGAACGCCCCGACGCCGCGCTCAGACACACACACACACACACACACACATATCCCTTGCCCCACATCTCTTAACCCGCTACAAACAGAACAATAGGCAGTGCTTCCTGAAAGTCAGAAAATAACAGGGAACAGTTTCCTTCGGCAGTAACTGGGGAATACGAGTATTGAAAGGCCATGTAGCCTGCAGCCTTTGGTCAAATATAGAGCACCAATTCAGCTTCTTGCATCTGTTTTGTATGCGTCTTTTCAATGGCGGCACAAAACAACCTGACTGGATTCGTTGGGGTGAAAGACTGAAATATAAAACAGCATGGCGCCCGTTTATTTTAGTTGTCACATTAAAAACCTTCCCCTCTTCAACTTGCGAATGCGTGTTAAAATGCTTCGTTTGCTTTATGAATTAAAAGCATTAGAGCGAGACACGAGCTCCTTTACACAACGACAACCGGCACATTCGTCTGCTTCTGTTTGAAGGGTCGTCCATCATTTCTAGTGAGAGGGAGAACCTTCTTCCAGCTTCCTTATGAAATTCTGACAAAGAGTCACGTGTGTTGTGTAAAGCTGGTGCATTATGGGAGGATTCTGTGACAGAGAGAAGCAGAGCATAAACATGTCTGTTTTATATATGTGCCCAAGCGGAGAGAGTGACCTTATCGTCCTCAAAGGACTAACTCGAAATCACCATACAATCACACACACACACACACACACACACACACAGAAAAAGAGAAAGAAACCCCTGCAATGAATGACCTTCGAGAGAAACATGGGATTAAAACACACGCTGAGAGCAACAAATAAAGGAGGCCAGAAGACAATGAAGATAACTGAAAATGCAAGAAAAGGAGAACGAGAAAAGGGAACCGGTGAGAGACGTGCCGCTTGTTTCTCTTCCTCGCCCTCAAGTACATGATTCTTTTTCCAATTAAGGCCATTATCTCCTCGGCTGCCAGCCCGGCTACAAAGACTCCACGTGGTCCGACCCTCCTCCCCACCATCTTCCCCCTTGGTCCTCCTGGATCTTTCTCTTCTCTGTTAATTCACCCTGTCCTTTTCTCACAATGTAACTAGAATCATTTGAATCTATCTTCCCCTTCCTGCTTTTAACCTCCCGTTTCCTTCTACTTCCCCGTTGTGGTTGGTCACCGTGGCAACATAAAGTGATGACTTTCTAATACCAAGGTACCATCTTCAGATTTTACAAAACTAATTTGTAGGATCTTTGTGTACTTGTGCTGTGAACATTTACTTTTTCGTGATTAATCATTTCCATTGCTGCATAACTCTAGATTCATAATCATATTTGATTGTAATTGCAGTCATTGTGGACTGTTCATAAACTATATTGATCTAAATTCCTTTTCAACGTGTCTTGGTGTTCATTCAGATTCACACATCCAGTAAAATAAAAGTGTTATCATTGTACCCGTCAACATGCCGACATATTCTTGTGGTCGTTGTATGCGTATCTTGAGCTAGTATGGTTCCAAATAGCAAAGGGGAGTGATTTAAAATCCTAATGCACAGAGGTAAGCGGCCGCTGGGGAGTGTGCATCCATCCATCCATCCTAACAAGGTCAAAGTCCTTCATTCATTCAGCGTATGATCACTTCATGAGCAGCACACACCCTCTTTATCCTTCTCTTTGCCCCGCCGCTCCTCCTTCTATCCATCCAGCCACACAGACTCACAAAAAACTATTTCTTTCTCCTTTTTTTTTTCTCAGGTCGCCAAAATTCAACTCCGACCTCCAATTTCATCCTTCAAAAGCCCTAAAACATCACACCCTGCTTCGTGATCCTCCCCAGCGTCCCTTCCTCCCCCGTCTCCCTTCAATCAATCCTCCCCTCTGGCCTCACCTTCAGATGGCACAACCTCTCCCCTCCATTTCTACAGAGACTCCCACCCTCCCTCTACTATTCCCCCAACCTCTGGCCCTCTGTAACCCTCCCCCAGTCCCCCCTCCCTCCGTATAATCTTCCCTCCTTCAAAGGTCAAACAGCTGGAATGAATGGGTCGATAGAGGAGGGGGAGGGCGGGAGGTGGAGGAGAGGTGTGAGCGAGGGAGGAGAGCAGGAGTTGGTATGGGGGAGGGTGAGGGCGACGGAGGGGGGGCAGGAGGAGTTTTAAGAGAGAGGAGATAGACGGGATAAAGAAATCCCTGAATCAGCATTCCTCTGGGTCTCTGTGGGAGCAGCAGGAGAGAAGGTGGTGATAAATGGGGGGGGGGGGGGAGTCGGTGTGCGAGGAGGAGATGGGAGCAAATGGGAAGAGAACACCTCCCTTCTGATTCTCTCTATTTCTTTGCGTCGACGGGAAGGGAAACAATGCAGGTGTGTGTTGGTCACAGTGAGCTTAACAATGAGTCAATGTTCACACACACACATTTCCCACAGCGAGAAATTCAGTTTTCTGCAGAAAGCATTGAAATTGTTTTGTTTGCAGAAACAAATCCGTCTCCAGTTCCCAGTAAAACTCTGGCGGCCTGCAGCAGCAGAACAAAGGTCTAGACGGACGCTGCACAGCTCCGCTTTGTAAAGAATATCAATATGAGCCCAGACTGCAGCCCACAGCCGCCGCCAGGACACCATCAATAATTCACAAACCTCTTTTACACCTGTGAATCACCAAGGCCTTCGTGGCCCCGGTTCTTCTCGCTCTCTTCCTGTTCCCCCCCTTTGAACCCTCCATCCGCTTCTCTCCCTGAAGGGCGCTGTCCTGTATTGTTGCCTCTCTGGACCGGGTCTAACCCCTAACCCAGGCCACCGGGTACTGGAATCCTTCTGTTTATACTGACTGCTCAGTACTACTCAGCTCTGAGAAGATTCCCCCTTCCCTCAGGGGCAAACAGCAACTATAACAACGAATCATCATCATCGGTACAAGAAACCGTGTGAGAAAAATACCTGGATCTTCCAATAAAAGGTGGACGTAAGCCTGTGGACACAGAACCTGAGTAAAGAAAGTCAGCTACAACTCCCAAGGAGCATTTTGTTAAGAAACATCAAGTTTAAAATTGCGTTGCATCCACTGCTGACAGCGAGCGCAGCCTCCCGCTTTGGAAATGGAATCCATTCTGCAGTTTAAAGTACCAACAACGTGCTCTGAATCACACCTCTCACCGGCGCGCTACTGACGGAAGCCATCGACATCAGAAAAATGTGGATGTAAAGAAATATTTAAAAGAAACAACTACTGAAATGGACGTTAATGTTGTGAGATTTAAAAGCGAAACACATCATGAAACCAGAGAGCCAGTACTATGTGGAGAACTGAAAACATTGAGGTTGATGCATGCATTATTGAGCACTCGCTCAAAGAGGATTATTTGCATTGGCGGGAGATAAAACAATGGCCACAGTGTGGTTGAAGGATGGAGTGAAGTATCTTCTGCTTCTGAATCTCATTCATTCTGTCGCTCCCCAAAGCTCAGGACTGTCGGTGAAAGGTGGAATAAATATTGAAAATGCTAAATGAGTTTCCCCTCCAATCTGCCTCACACTCCCTTTTAGAATCCCCAGACAACACAGAAGGCAGCAAAGTAACCCGTCAGACGCCGGGATGCGTCCAGTGTCCCCGTCAACCGCGAGCAGAAAACAAAAAGAGAGAGAGAACACACAGTGCGGCCAGGCAGAAGGAGCTCGATCTGCTGCCAAGAGAGCAAACCAACCAACCATCCATCCAACCAACCCTGACCCGCATTAGGGGCCTGGTCCTGGGCCACGGCCACGGCCAAGAGGCCCAGGCCCTTCAGACAATGAGCAGAAGCAAGAGGGAGAGCGAGAAAAAGATCGGGCTTTGCTATACTTCCCCCCTCAAATTAGGCTTAACTCGGGTCCAACAGCACTTTACCTTCATTTATTTCCCCTTCGAAGGGGCGCGACGCCTGTAACTCTGTTTTGTTTACTCACACTTCCACTGGCTTTGACATCAAATCGGATTCTCCCTTTTCAACGCAGCGCTTTATTGGCTCCACTTGGAGGAACTAAAGAGTCCCCGGAGTGGCGGCCGTGCGGCGGTAATGAAGTCAGGACCAGATGCGAGCGGAGACGTGCTGTCCTGAGGCCCACTGAGCACACTAAACATTGTTTTCTTCTAAAGGCCGACAATCCGGCAGTCTAAATAAGGATCCGCCTGGAGCGCGAGCTCAGCTGACCTTTCCAGGTTGCTGTGACCTCAAACTGACCGTCTGAATATAGTTTACTAAATTTACACAGCGGCCAAATTGGATGAAAACCGCTGCTAAAGCGACACAACGCGGCGCTGTTTATCAAGAGCAACGTTCCTTCAGCTTCCTGCTTCTTATTACCAGCAGTCACAAACAGCCCCGCTGACCCCGGGGCGCCGCCTCCTGCCCCCCGCTCAGTTCCTACCTTGTCGATCTCCTGCTGCAGGACCTGTTTGGCCACCTCCAGGTCCTGCAGGCGGACCCGCAGCTCCTCGTTCTCCTGGTCCAGGCGGCTCCTCTTCTTTTCCACGCTGTCCAGCTGGCTGTGGAGACGGATGGACACGTCCTTCGCCACCTGAAGAGGATGAGGACGAGAATTTAGCTCGGTGGGTCTTTCAATCAGCGTGTCTTTTGTGGGTAGGCGCTAAGATGGGAGTGTAGACTTTTACTGTTTTTGATGAAAGGATTAGACTTAGTCGGGAGTCATCTCGGTAAACCAGATCTTCATCGGTCACAGCGAAGCACATTAACATGTCACCATTGGATTTTGCTGAGAGATTTTTTCTTATTAAATCTCCATTCAGGTAAAGGAGATTACATTTCATTTCCAAGCGTAAGATATGTTCCAGAAACGCCGCCAGAGATTAAAGTTAAATACTGAGTGTGTTTTCTTTACACCCAGAACTTTTTTGTCTGGTAAAAAAGATTCTGGCAGGAACTGATCTTTTATACATAACGTGATCCTATGTGAAGTCAGATTGTTCCCCACCGAGGCAACATTGCAACATTTGACTAAATATCAAGTCAGGAGACTCAAACACTGAAAAGACAAAAGCCGCTACAGATGTTCGGATGAGACAGATGTTCTCCCACTGCATCGGCCTTAATCAGTGCACCTTGGTTATCAAAAAGACAGATTTTAATATAGTCTGAATCAAAGAGGCCGTTTGTATTAAATAATTGTCATTTCAATCCGCCAAAGGATCCTACAAGGCTGCATTAGATTTGATGACTTTCATAATTCCCATCAGGAATAAATGGACTCATCACGCTTTAGTTAAATCAATCACCTCACAGCTCTTAAATGCACTTAGAGCCCATTAACCTCAACGCTGATTTCATCCAGAGGGAGACGGTCTTTATTGTCTAATGATTTAACTGTTCTGCTTTAATAAGTTTGACTTTCTCGTTAACCACCTGAGAGTAGGCGCTAGGAACTTTTGTCAATTACCTTTAAATAGCACTTTGGTAAAAAAAAAGTTAATCTCATTGAGAATCAGCTTGATCAAAAACACAAATGGCATTTGAATGGCCTGTGTTTCCTCTTTTAATACTGTGCGTGCCTGTGTGTGTTTTTGAACCCTTGCCCGGGTGCAGCTGAATCCCACAATGCCCCTCTTCATTCTAGCCAGGGGCATCTGAGCTCCACCACGTGCCAATTCATGCTTTGCATTTCTTCTTCTCTCTGTTCACCTCCTGTATTTCTCTCAATCAGCCACGATTTTATTAGTCCTGTTTATTCTGCAAATACAGCGTGCGTAACACAGCGCTTCGTCTCTTTCTCGTTTCTGTGTTAATTCTTCGCCGCTTCCCGTCTCATTCTCAGCTTTTGTTCAACATCCTTTGATTATCGCGACGCATCTTGTGCAGTGCTTGGGCAGCTTGCATAGAACAAACGAATGTGCTCTTTTGGTAAATGATAAAAGACGTAAGGTCTAACTGGGACTGCCGACCTCCAATTTAAAACTTCACAACATCAGCCGAGATGTTTCCCCGTGGATTCACTTATTTATTTATGGGTTTTCCAAGCTGTCACTGGAGGCGATAAGCAGCTCTTTCTCTCTTGTATTGAATTTTAAAACATTGCACTGTAAAATGACCAATATAGCAACTTTCAGTTGTTGCTTTGCAACAGAATTGACCTTTATTTTTTAAAATATGGTCTGTGTCTTTTCATCTATATATAATGAATGAAGAGTATGCAGCAACAAAACATGTTTAAAGCTAAAAAACGACCACAGACAAAAGACCCTCAAACTAACCAAGTTGTGTTTGTCGCTTTAATCTAAACAATCCTGCATCTGAAAGGCAATCACCATACTCATGTCTCATATATACAGTGTACGTCCATATGTGCAAAAAAACCCCTATTCGGGGTGTTTTTTGCCATGAGTAACACATTTGACGGGCGCCTCCAAAATAAGCAGTTTTATTTTTGATGTTTCTAAACGGGATGCGGAGGCGATATTTGGCTCTCTCTCGGGCCTCCGTTTCTTTATGCGGAGAGTTACGTTATATTGGGGGGGGGGGGGGGGGGTGTTGCAGAAGAAGCAGCAGAACTGACTAATGAATACGAGATGAAACACAAAGATGGATCTCCCAGATTGCCGCCTCAACCAAAGGGATATTATTTTGCATGTCAACTTGCTCCATCGCTTTCTTTCAAGCAGATCCACAGTGCAGTTTAACATCCCGGAGGAGTTGTTGGTGTGTGCGTGTTGCGCTTGTGGGGATCGATTAACACCGTGTGCCTAATGTGGATCCCACGCGTCTATATAGGAGAGAAACAAAACAAGCAGCTTTTGTTAATTGGATGCTTTCAGCATTGTAGACGTAGAGCTCTTTAACTCCTCTTCCTCCGGCTTCTCATCCGTTCTTTCTCTCCTCTCCCCTCCTCTCCTCCTCTCCAACACTCCTTTGTCAGCCCTTGACTCCAAATAAATGCAGTGTTGTTCTTCTAGGTTAAGAGGGAACGTGGAGGAATTTAAAGCCATTAAATCTGTGGCTTCACCCAGCAACAGAGCTATAGGATGTAATTAGCATTCAGCCAGTGTGCTGCGGAGCGAGCGCACGTGATTGTGCGGCGTGTGTGTGTGTGTGTGTGTGTGTGTTTGATAGAGAGAAGATGGAATAAAGAGAGAAGGAAAGAAACCTCCAGAAGCAGAGAGCAACGTTTTTTTGATTGTTCCTTTACCCACACACACCAAAACACACAACAAACAGACACACACCAGCCAAGTAGGTCTCCTTCATGTGTGTGTGTGGTTTGTGAGTTTGATTGCATTTAACAGCCAGTCTTGTTCCTCCTGCGGGTCCAGCCGGTCTGCACACACACACACACACACACACACACACACACACTCTTTAGTGGATGCATGTAAAACCCCTCTGATTAGAGCGGAGGGGTTAACCGCTATTTTTGTGTGTTTGTGTAGACTTACACTCTCACTAAAAGGCTGTTTGTGTTTACTGCTGTAATGCATTTAGGTTTTAGTTAACGTCGATTTAAAGGTTTGGGCTTGGACGGGTATTTGTGTGTTCAAAAACATTTTTTAAAACACACTAGATGATCTACTCTGAAGGACATTTTCTTTCCATTTTCTAAATAATAGAAAGGATTGAAATCAATGATACCATGTTGTGTGATATAATAATACAGTTTAACTCGTGGTAGCAGCGGTGGCCACGTCCTAAATCCTTCCCCTCTCTGCTAAATACGAGCATGGCGCCATGAAACTGGCGCCTGAGACCATAAACACATGTTCGATTACCGAGGTAATTCACTAAGGGAGAAGAACTCATTTACTCATTGACTTTTGTACAAAAAATAACACGCAGCACCTCACAAGTCCCTGCTTGTGCAGAGCGAGGTCTAATGTCGGCGCATTAGCAGTGAATCCTCTAGACTCACACCCTGTCTTTTAGGACTAGTGGGCAGCAACAGCGCGGCACAGCGGGGACGAGTCGGGTCCTGCCCCGGAGCAATGGCAGAAGAACTTGGAACGTCTACTGAAACATTCAAGGCTTTTGGGGACGGCCGGAAACGTGCGAAACCCTGAGAAAGCCTTCGGTCGGCTCTGATCTATCGCACCGTCGCGCCCGTAGATGAAACACCCAGCTTTAAAATGCAGGCCGATTGCATCGTCGTGAACAACAGTCACATGTGACCCGTAGTTTTCTTTACCTGCGCGGGCCACGATGACTCCACTGAGACTCCAAAGCATCTGAGGTCTAACAGTAAACCTTGGACTCTATTGTTTTTGATAGAGAGGAGAGTGAGGCAGCATCAGCCGGTGGATGTGCAGACAGATAAGACGGCTTTTTGAAGGATCCAGTCTCCCTTCCGGTTATATCAGATCAAACATGTTTCAGTGTAACGCATCAATGACGCAGTAGCAAAGTCACATTTTGTAAGAACCAGTAACTTCTGTGGAAAGGTTTACAAAAAAAATACTCCTGAAAGCAAGTATAGAATTCTGGATGATGCTGATGGTGCTGGACTCCTGGTGAACATCAGCTTCTGGTTATAATGAGCTGGTTTCCTGGAGATATATTGTTTCTTGTGTGCGTTCCCGGATCGAATTCAGCTAAACGGTTCATTTTTTTTTGTGTCTGAGCGCTGTCATCATTTCTGAACTACGAAAAGCCGATCACGTCCGCCGCAAGCAACTCACGGCTGTGAGTAACCTTCGGCCGCCCTGGTGGTGACGTTGGTTGACGTTTGCCATTGTTGACCTTTTTTTTACATTACATGTCATTCTTTTTGACCTTCGTCCAACCTGTTCCGCCCTCTCAACACCCATTTAGTGGATGTTACATCACAGGTACTCCGCTTCCTGTCTATATATAAAAGCACCTCGGGCCAAAGAGAGGGGAGCCAGTGGCGTGACAGCTGTTCCAGTGTAGGCTGTGATCCATCTATCTTTGGATCCAGAGAGCGGGAGGGAAGGAGGGAGGGGGGGAGGGGGGGACACAGGCCGGTGGGACATAATGAATTCCCACAATCCTTGGCACGTCATTTTGGCACTTGGAAATATGGGATCTAACCTCTAATACCACCGAAGATTATTCTGTCCACCCATCCATCCATTCATACCACATCTATCCAGTGTACTTGATAAGACAGCAGCGGTGCTAGTGTTTGCGCTAATGATCATTGTATCACTTAGTTATTCTTTTCTATTGATGGCCAAACTTGTGCATTTTCTCTGGATTAACCCTCCAATTCCTCGGCCAATCGTTGGAGCACAATTGCTCAGTTATTGTCTCATCATGGACCAGCGCATACCCAGATATGGACGTTGTCTCCCGATTGACTCGTGCACCACTGCACCCAAATCCTTTTTCACGGCACACAAATTGAATCAGTGTGTTTCTCCATCTGAGTATTTGTTTGCTCTATCATGAGTTTCACTGATCAGTACATGCTGTGGCACAGCTTTGTTCCACACTGACGCAGACACAAGGGGAAGCCACTGTTTCTACTGTGAGCAGTGATGTAATGACTCATAGTCGCATGGAAACTATACTTCCTACACCGAGTGCATGACACATGGTGCAGGAGTAGAGGGTTGGGTGTGCATGTGTGTGTGTGTTTGGGTGCCGGAGAGATGCAAGAGGAAGCTTATATAAACTGTATCCAATTTTGGCTACAGTCTCTCTCTCTCTCTCTCACACACACACACACACACACACACACACACACACACACACGCACACAAAGCAAGACATATGGAGATGAGGCCCGGGAGCTGGCGCTGTTCAGATAAATGTACCGGATTCTGCTGCTTCACACCTCCACTGAAACCGCTGTGTGTGTGTGTGTGTGTGTGAGTTCCCCGAGCTTCTCAATTCGTGCAGGACCGGATTGGGTTAAACATATTATCTTGCATTTGCTTTTTTCCAGTGGCTCTGGTCTTTTTTCAAACATACCCACCATTGAAATTATTTCTGAAGGTTAGGGTTGTTCGGTAGTGAATGTTTTAGGTCAATCAAGGTTCTTACAACTACTGACTGAGTGTTATTCGCCGCGTGAATAAGAAGAAAGACCATAATAACATCTATTGGTCACGGACCAGTTTCATGTCCAGTGCTCAGTGGTTGGGGACCACTGATCTACACTCTTTAAGCAGACAGCCAACGCTCTTAAAAGCGGGCACAAGTGTTGGTATGCGTAGATCTACAATATACAACCCACCATGAAGCTGTCGTAGTTTACAGTCACTGCTGTGGTGGTCTGACGTCTCTCCTTATTTGGGCAGCCCGGCAACCTAGCGACCATTAAACCCCCAGAAACCTGGACCGGGTCTCCAAAGTGACGGCACAGAAGGTGTAACATCTTTGTACGATAACACATGCGGGAGATCAAAATGTTGACTATGCTTTTAAAGGATTTGTTCAGGCACACACACACACCGGCAGAGCATGAGCGTCGTACACTAAGTTTACAGTCAGCGCTTTAAGGCAAATGCACTACTGATTCCCTCTGGATACGAGCACAACCGCTGTGGTCATGAGAAAAAATAACAACTATTTCCTCTGTCCGTCGGTGTGTGTCTGTGTGTGTGTGTGTGTGTCCAGATGTCTGTGGGAATGAGATAAGTATGTGAGTAGGACAGGAAATGATGTTCTCATGGAGACTGTGACTGCCATACAACACACAAACACACACACACAGCGTTAAGTCTGTGTCGCTTTGCCCATTTGTGTGCGTTTGCCTGTGAGCGCGTCATCACATCAAGGCCTTTAAGTATCAACAGTAGTTAAGCCAATTTCCTTTGTAAAGCAGCTCAGTGAAAAGCAGCTCAGTGAATTCAAGGTCAAATTGGACCGTGAAGGCCACACTCACTGGCCGTATCTCTGAAACCTCAATGTCCAAAAGCATAAATATATACACTTGCATCATAAAACAACTCATTTGCATGTTTTTACACCCAAAGTTTTCTGTTATATGAAGCAGTTTCCGATTGGCACTGGTTCATCCGTCTCCTCAGACCAGTAAAAGGCTTCCGAGGCATCAGTTCGAATCACTTCAAATAAATCAAGAAATCTATACATAATGGAAGGACTTGAAAACAAAGATCGCTACATGCATTTGAAATGTGCCGCTGTCCGACCGCCGTCTCCACGCAGCTGCTGAGCTGTGTTCTCTTTTCAATCCGCGCTACTAAAAAAAAGCAGAAGTGGTTCACTGGCTGTGAGCACGCGAGCTATGCGCGCTGGATCGCAGTGCACGCTTTGGTGCTCGCTATGGCGAGATAGCCGAGGGCGTTTGTTCGGCTGTTAATAGTGTAACACTATGTAAATAGTAACCGTCTTTGTGTGTTTTTCACTGTTTGTGTTTTTTACAGCAGCGCTGAACCAGTGGGACGGAGTCTTTTATGAGGCTACGGATGAAGCCACCAGAGCAAACAGAGGAGTCACTGTGAGAGGCCAACATAAGAGGAGCCCAGCACGGGATTAATGCACAACACACACACACACACACACACACGCAGCCTAGTGTAACTTGACCTGCCGCCTGAGCCGTTGGCTGTTGCGGCGAGACGACACAATCAGCCATGTGTTGAGAGAGCGGTCCGGTTTGTCTCCCTGCAGTCTACATGTTTATGATGCTTTTTTGTTAATGCGGCAAACAGATAACAGACTTTACCTTGTTTCTTTTTTTCCCAAACTTGGTCTTTTTATTCCTACATCGTTTCTGACCTCACTCCTTATCGCAGCGAAGCTAAAGATTCAAATTCAAGTCAGGACCACCATTTAAAATAAACTATTCCTTCTTTAATTCCTCATCATATCGTGTCTGTTGCTTTCTCTTTTTTTTTTTCAAGTTCTCTCTAAACATTCCTCACCCTCCCTCTCTGATTGGCTGATTTGAATTTTTTTTCAGAGGACGCAGGACGTACGCTCCTCCTTGTCCCTCCCTCCTTCCTTCTCCCAAAGCGACCAGATGGAGAGGCAGCGGCGGAGCGACAGACAGCGACAGCTGACAGGGGAGCCCGGCATCACAGTCTCACTCTCTCTTTGTGGGGATAAAGGCCTCATTGTGTCCTCGGTCGCATTGGAAAAACGTTGGCGGAACGCCGCAAATTTGACGCGAGTGTCTCCGCTGTGACAATAAACACACACAGAAGCTTTAGCCTGCACTCAGTGCGCGCTGTGCTCGACGCGCCTTCACCGTTCCCGAGGTGATCGCGGTGACGGTTGTATTATGCTTTCTGCGCTTTTGAAGGAGACGGTACGACTGATCCGTGTCGGCCTGTTAACATGCGTGTGACGTCAGCTGAGAGGCCTAATGGGGCGTCCGGCCACAGGATAAGTTTGTGAATATCTAGAACATCGAAAAATATGCTTATTTCACGTCCAATGTACAAATGTCAGCTGTCTATTACTGAATCTTACAGAGACAAACCACACTGATGGCATACAATAGAGTTAAAACACACCGAAGCCCCATCACCGTTAGACATGATATGGTCGTGCATGTAAACAGCATAACCTGCACGTACTGTCGGGGTTATGCGTCTGCACACGCTCCGCTAAAGCCGCTGCCCCCCCCCACTACGCTGCAGCGGCTCCTATGCGCTCTACAAGCGCGTTCCTGGTTTCAAAACTCCGCCAATCGCTCGTCGAAGCATCCCAGCATCAGCAGTCTATTACTGAATCTTACAGACACAAACCACACTGATGGCATGAAGTTAAAGTTAAAACACTCAACGAAGCCCCATTATTAATGGACATGGCTGAAATCCGGTCATCATACTCGACAAGCCGAAGTTGTATTGGGGCGCTCGCTATTTTTGCTTGACGCACGCTCCCGATCTTGAATCTAGAATCGATTGCTCTTCCTTGGGTTCCCGGATGTTGCGGTTGCATTTTTGCGGTTGAATTTTTGCGGCTGAATTTTTGCGGTTGAATTTTTTGTGGTTGAATTTCTGCGGTTGAATTCGCTCTGGGAGAATATGGCAGCGTCGAAAAACATTCAGATACACGATTTCAACGCATAAATATTCAGTGCTATAAATTCAATCACCTTTTTCTTTCAAAATCCGATGACACAGATTTACTTCCATAGAAAATCCTTCATTTGGAGAAAGAAAGAGGAGCTGAAGCGCCGATGTCAACGTTTAAATGAAATTGGGACAGAAAGGGGTTTTTTAAGTCTGTTTCACATGGATCACCCAACACATTAGACAGACCCTTTCTATTCAGATGCAACATTTACAGTCTGGGCATTCTTTGTGTCCTTCAATTACTTTAAACAATTGCACACAAACTGAGTGTTGATTCTTTTGGTAGTCGAAGCTCGTGTATCAGTAATTCACTCGTATCCGTGAATAAGCTCTCTCTCTCCGTGCTGCTGGTGCGTGCACGAACACTGCCGACCACGAGCCGTGACGCATCTCCAGAGCCGCTCCCTCAAGCACACCAACACTCACTTTGACGTCCTGCTCCAGCGTTCGTATCAGCTCCCCGTCCACTTGCCCCGTCTGGGCCACGCGCACCGAGCGGCGCTCGGCCTTCCTCAGCCGGTACTGCAGGATGCGGCAGGTCTTGTTTGCCTGAGGAAACAGAAGCTCCGTTATGTGTGCGGCCCGTCTAAGCCGCCTCGGGCGTTCACCTTCACCGTCCCGTCAACACAGGAGCCATTCAGATAGATAGGATAGATGACATGCAGACGTCCATGTTGGCCCTCGTTCCGTTGATCGATTGCCCGCCATCTTACCGGATCACAGCACAGCTTCAATGGGTGCCCCCCCCCCACCCCCCCACACCCGGGTCGTACCTGCTCAAGCTGTTGCCGTAGGTCCTGCAGCTGGTAGACGTCGTCTTCCATGTACATGTCCCGCATCTCCAGCATCTCAGACCTCAGCTCCTCCATCTCGTCCTGGAGGCAGGGGAGGAGAGGCAGAATGTGAAGTGCTGCACGCACTTCTAACGACTGTAACACGAGAGCAGGAAGCAATAAGGAGAACAGCCTGTGGCTCATTAGGGGAAATCTGCCAAGTCTAATTGGAGTTCTTCAAAGCGCGTAGCACATTTGTCATATATGCAACACCCATCCTCATCGTCCATTACCCTTGTGAGCGTCCCATCAAACGCTGCTCGCTGACATAAGCCAACAAACCCACGTCTTCACTGAGCTCGTCGTCCGCGTTGCCATTACAGCCAATGGCGTCTTCTTAAAATGAACTGTTGTGTAATATTATCCCCATAAAGTCTCATAACGGGGGTCTTTCCACGTGGAAAACGACTTGCTGCGAGTAGCAGAGGTATGTAGCAGGTAATTTGATACTGTATTGATTCTCCTTTCGGTCTCCCACTCAGGAGGTCAGAGGTGAGGGTCACGTTATCAGATTACCTCCGAACAGACACTAACAGTCCCTCTGGGGTAATTGAGAGCAAAGCAAAGTACATTCCTGCACTCTAAAAGCATAAAGTAGAAAATATCGGAAAAGAAGTCGTTATTTTAAAAAGTATGAAATACCACTCAAGAGTAAGCCAGTGCAAATGATTAATTTACTGTAACGCTATCACGTTCTCTTTTGGACGTATTGGAGATGAATTATTTATTCTAGCCTGAGAGCATGAATTGCATCACCGGTGAGAATCGGATTGACGGTGCAGCTGAAATGAACCACACCCCATCACGAGCAGTCGCTGGGCTTCACGGGACAGCAGGCGAGCTGTTACACAACAGCGAGCTGTTAAGAGTGCGCGCTGTGTGCGTGGGGAGAAATATGTATGTATATGTATATGCGCGTAAAGCAAATTAAGCAAATTAAGCAGAAGTCTTACGAGCGGCTGTAGTGAGAGTAGTAGTACTGCTGTCAAAATGTACTACAGTGGATAATGTGGGTCAGCCTCTGCTGAGCCTCTACTGCAGCAACAATGAGCCCTTGGGATGCGTGTGTGTGTGTGTGTGTGTGTGTGTGTGTGTGTGTGTGTGTGTGTGTGTGTGTGTGTGTGTGTGTGTGTGTGTGTGTGTGTGCATGGGTGTGTGTGTGTGTGTTTGTATGGAAATAAACAGCAAGAAAGGGAGTGAGTGGGTAGGGTGTGTCTACGCTGCTACCAACAACAATGCGAGCAGGCGTGTTCACGGGTTATGATTAAGGTAACTTGACCACTTGTGCGGTTTGGTGTGTCTGCGTGTGCAATCTTAAGAAAGAGATCTGTGGATTGGGCTTAAACAGACCGCGGACATCTGCAACACAGAGGTGACGCGTGGCAAAGAAATGAAAAGGGAAGTGGGGACTTCAAAGTAGAAAAAGAGGACGAAGGAAGATCAGGAAAGTAGAATTAAAGGCTTTAAAATGAAGGGGAGCGACGAATGGAACGAAGGGGGGGTGGGGGGGGGGCAGGAAGGAGAGGAAGAGAAAGATCAGAAGCAAAGGTGGAGAACAACGCGGATGGGAAAAACAGAGCATGGAATAAGTGCAGAGGGAGTTTAAAGACGCCAGCAGGGAGCGAGAGTGTGAGGACGCGAAGCGAGGGAGTGACTAGTTAATGTGGCGAGAGACTGAGACTGAGCGATGTCGGTCCACTGACCTGCTTCACGCAGCCCAACACGGAGCGCAGCGAAGATGCTTTTCAGTCAGGAGATGGAATCAACCAATGGGACGTTGGATTTGAGTGATCTGCTGCGATAACCTTAACAACCACCTCTAAAGCTCACTAGTTAACAGGTAACACGTAGTTAAAGGTGAAAACAACACGGGCAGATGTTGTCGGGCCAAGCTGACCGGCTGCTTGCTGTAGCTTCATCCGAGGTAATAACATATTAGATTAGATCTGGATCAGATTCAACATATTCGCAGTACGAAATGTAAACAGTTGCTCAACCATCAGTTTGAGTTGTTTTCACAAGAAAGTCATTACTAAGAAATAAGCTCCCGACAGAAAGAACGACTTGTTTTCGTCTGTCAACACGTCGCACAGCAATGCGGCACAAACACTGAAATATTAATTCACAATTACCGACTCCAGCAGCTGTTAGTTGTGTTGATCTACTAATTGTCAAACAAACAGTCATGGAGCTACTACTCAAACACAGACGGATGTAGAAGGATGCTCGGCAGCTCGGCAGCACTCGGATGCTCGGGTGGGAGCGTCGACCGAAAGAGAGAAAAACATAATCGGACTGAGAGCCAGAGATTGAGGGGCAGCTTGACTCCACAGCAGCAGCGTGTTGTTTTCCTCTTCTGGTTACTAAACAGGTGTTGCTCACAGCTGCAACAGCACCCACACCTCAATGCAAGGCCCCCCCAGGGAGAATCATGACAAGCGTCTAAAAACTCATATTGTTGCTCCATAAATGGCCTAAATTGAAACCAATCACGGCGACATAACAATAGGAAGCCATGAGGATCATCATTCATGGAGAACATAACTAAAAGTAATAATCTAGTGAGTTGTATGGCGGTAATCCATCATTGAGAATAGCGTTATTGTGTAATGTCGTATGTCTGTGAGAGCGTTTACACCCGTAGTGACAAATCGGGTTGCAAAGGGGGAGAAGCTTTCCAGAAACATTCAATGGGGATTTTGCCTAATATATTATTACTTGGTAAACTGAAGACCAACACTATTTGTATAGAGTAGGCCGACTGTTTACCACACAAAAGTCCACCATCACCTCCATCATTCGTGGCTGTTCATCAAAAAAGTTAGTGTGTCATAATTACTGATCAAATATGTCAAATGGATCAAAGTATTCCTCCATCACATGTGCAGGAAACACTAAAACTCGAGACGCTTAATTCCTTTGACATTTAGAAGTGGGCTTTTTGGAGGGGGGATCATAAGGAATACACTGTTTCATTCAAAGGTCATGTTTTTGTGATTCAATGAAGGAATAAAGTTCTTCTCACGCATGGTTTGAGTCAGAAATGTCATTTTTTGTCAATGTTTGCATCCATATCTGCTAATGACAACACAAAATGCTGCATTGTCATTTATCACAAGGCAAACACAGTTAAATTACCCAAATACTTCCAGCTCATTCGTGAACTTTGAATATTACCAGAATTTTACAACCCACGTGATTAATGAATGCAACTCTTTTTCAGGCTGAAGCTCCACCAACGTTCTCAAGCCTCCAACACAAGCTGACGAGGCGCCGGTTTAGGAAAGTCATCAGTCAACCTCCACAACCAATCGGTGACAATTATTGGCTTCTCTGGTTAGTGCTTGGGAACAAGTTAATATAATTCATCCTTCCTCTAAATCAATCCCTCTAAAGGCCGGATGGAGCAGCTTGATCCCTGCATGTATAAAACACGACTCTACTTTGTGGGAGCTGAGTGACGCCACCAGGGTCGAAACCTGACGACATGAGAGTCCAGGACCTGATGATGATGATGATCATGCGATGGGCTGGTTGTTGTTGTTTTTCGGATGGGGGGTGGGGGTTCAGTTTGACACAACACTCGAATTTCTGTGCTTTCCCATTTTCCCAACATTGTGCAAGAAAACGAAATCCCCTCAATTTCACTCCGCGTGAAGCGAGGCTGCATGTTTTCCCTGATGGAGCAGGCTTTGTTCATGACACCGCCACCCTTCTGGCAGTGAGTAGCCTTGGATGGCACCCAAAGGCATCTCTGCACACTGGGAAACAAGTCAGAGTGAACTGTGTGATAATAAACACCACGTTACCGAGTCACAGGCCGGGGGATCTTGGTGTGAGACACTTCCACCCGTTATAACGCAACGGACTGACTAATCTACACCTCCACAGACACTGATACAAAGGGGGGTTACCTTCAGGTAATCGTTCTCCGATCTCAGCTCCTCTATTTCCCGGACAAACTCCTCGTGCATGCCGTCCATGAACTCCTCCGTGAGGTCGGAGAAAGCCAGCGACGTGCTGGCAGGGACCCTGCTGTCAAACGAGGTGGCCGAGCGCTCCTCGCCGGGGGACACGCCGCCCTCCGCGGTCTCCGCGCCGAGGGACAGGCGGTCCCTGCAGTCCCTCTCCGCGGCGGAGGAACGGGCGCTCGTGGCGGCGGCGTGGCGGCGAGCTCTGTCCGCCAGCGCGCCGTCCCTGAGCGGCCTCTCCCCGTCCGGCCCGCCGCCCCGGCTGCTCCTGGACTCGGCGTCGCTGCTCGCCGCGTCGGCGGACAGCTTGTTTTCCTCAGAGGCGCAGTCCGACAGCTCGGAGCTGCTGTCGGTGGGGGACAGCTTCCCGGTGGCGCAGCCGGAGTCCTTGGACGCGTCGTCGGACCCGGTGCTGGCGTCCGACGCCTTCCTCCGGCCGCCGGTGCCCTTGGCCGCCTTGGCCGTCTTAGACGGCGTCGGGGAGGCTTTGCCCGCCAGCTTCCCGCCGCCGCTCTTCTCCGCCTTGCCGTCCTTCCCGGGGAGCCCCCCACGGGGCTGCGCCGGGACACGCGGCTGCCCAGGTGGATGGCTCCCGGTTTGACGCTCAGCGTCGGGGTCCCGATCCCCCCGCGGATCTTGGTGAGCGACCAACCGGGCGCCTCCTTCGGTCTGGCCGGGGACGGCGCCCGGTTGATCTTCTTCTTCTTCTTCTCGCCCGGGGGACGGCCGCTCACCGTCGCGGAGGGCTCCGCGTGCCGCGGCTGCCCGCCGCCCGAGCCCTCCTCCGTCCCGGCTCCGCTGTCCATCTTCTGCCGGAGGAGATGGAGTCTCCGTTCCTTGGGCGAGGCGAAGACGACCTGAGTCGGGGCGCTGTGGACATCAACCTCCTTTGTTTTTGTCATTCATTCCGCTTGTGCCGACGCGAGAAGAACTGAAACAATAAAACAAAATGAAATAAAAACCCTCCGCCGTTCCGGTGAAAGACGAGGCAGAAGTTGGAGGGTCGATAAACAAAAAGGTGGCGATTCTCGCTCCGAGCACCGCGGGAGCAGCGAGGCGGGGAAGCCGGAAGCGGCGTCCGAAAGCTGCAGAAAACGCCGCGAATAATCCCGTTTCCCACCGCGCGTGTGGCCCAAAAAAATGTATTAATGTATTCCTCTTTGTTGTAATGGAGCCGCGTCCTCTCTGCGGGGCGCCTGTCCCGGTGACACCAACGAGCCGGTCCCTGCTCACACTGTGGGGGGGGCGAACAGAACAGGGGAGGATGTGCTTCTCCCTCTCTGCGTTTCTCCGCCCAGATAACGGACCTGGAGGAGAGAGAGGGACGGGGGGGAGGGAGGGGGAGGGAGGGAGAGACTTCTGCAGCTCTCTGTCGCCGCCACTGCAGGATATTAGAAGACAGTAATAATGCTAAACAGAATAAAGTATGGATGCTCTGAGCGATGAAGCTGGATTCACCGGCATAGATCCAACAATATTTAATATTCATGGATAGATATTTTAAATGTAAAGCGGGAAAATAATTAAAGACCTTTCATTTTAGGAGATTTTTTACCTTAATGTCATTCTCAAAGACACAGACGACGTCTGTTGGTTTGCTTATCTTAAAACAATGTTAACCACAATGGATGGACGCAAATAAAGTACATAAATATGAAATATTAGCCTAAATGTGTCTTCTACAGTTGTTGAAATATTGGTAGAATTAGTTGTAGTAATAGTAGTATTGCGTTTGTATTAGTAGTAGTCGTAATAACAGTCAAATTAAAGTATTTGTAGCATCAGGAAAGGTTGCAGTAGAAGTACCAGTATGAGCAGTAGTACCAGTAGCAGTATTAGTGGTTTAGAGGCCATTACACATTTCCAATGTAAGTCTTAAACGGGAGAACACGATCCGACGCGTGTTCAGTGTGCTGCGTGTCTTTCAATCCTTTTAATCCGCATTCCGTAGCATTCAATTACCACGCCGATGCCCTTGCATTACATCGCACCTTGTTTACAGGCATACGACACGTTCAAAAACTGTTTGCTTTTCCATCCTCACCTGTTCTCATTAGCGGGCACTTACCTATATGCCTTTGTGCCTCAAAGTTAAACAACAAAACCACTTTATGGCTCCAGGAAGTGGTAATACTAGAAACATTAGCAGCATTGGTCATTGTCGCACTAGTTATAGTGTTGGGATTCCTCTGACGCCATGACAAGGTCTGTCAGTAAAATATGTCTGAAAAGATTTAAGGAAGAAGGTTTATAAAATCAAGGCTTACATTTAATCATGTCACATAATATCCGATTGAATAGAGGCCTAATGTGTTCCACCCAACAGACTGATACCAGTTAACGTTGGCTGTAAAGTTTCCCCCAAGTCAGCTGCTGATTTTGACATATAAACGCAATCCCAATGTCCATATAGATACAGATAATTGGCTTTTATAGAATATCCAAACTAATCTTTGACAAGATTATATACAGCTATTTATGTCATGATTAATTTACCTTATTAGACAGAAAGTCTCAACACATTCTCTGTTGCAGTCCCTATAACAGCATTACAGAGCAGGAACCTTTCTATCTATCTACATACATACCTTCTTACAGCACGTGTCCTGGTACGTACATCCACACGGTGCAAGAAGAAACCTTCCACGGTTAAAAGTGTGTTTCTGCAGTATTTCCTACAAGTGACAGGGACATTGTGTGGATGACCCGTTCTATTATTAAAGCTAAAGAGCGGAACGAGACATGCTTTAATCTCTAATAACAACCGTATTCATGTTTCCTCTCCACGTGTGTGCTGCTTCCTGACTGCACGTATGTACACACTCTTCCAAAGCCTTTTAACTCCCAACGTCAACGCAACAAGAACTCTATTCTCTACTCTGCTCTCGAACTCCTGTCTCTGTTGTGGCTGTTTATTGAACTGTGACCGTCATCAGATTAAAGTCTCATAACCGTCGATAAAGGCTCTGGTGGCTTGCAGAGTCAAAGCGCCTGAATGATTTATGAGCCACTCACACAATTTTCCTGAAAATACAGAAGGTCTCTGATACTGACAATATTGTACATGTGCTCAAATAATATGTGACAAAAGGGATAAGATTGCAGAGCTCATAAAAAATTTAATTAATTATGGTGCCAATCGCTGTCAGGTCTCACAGTTTGTTTCCACTTTGGAGATGACAAGGGTCTGTATGAAGAGAGGGAACTATTCAACATTATTAAACGCATTCAAATCCAGCTGTATGAATAGAAACTGCATTAAGACCAATGATTAGTGAACTGTCTCCATCCTGAATCCAATCCACGCTGAAGCTTTGGATGTCATGTCGGACTCAATTGTTCATTGAAGAAAAAGACATTTAAAAAAAGAAGAAATCTGAAGTGTTTTCTCACCCAACTTTCACATTTCCTTACTTCTCTGGCATTTTTAAATCCGCCGGCAGGGATATTACATCCATAGAAGGACACCATAATGATATGATACCGTTATTATGCAGCAGCCTTTTAAATCATTCATCACCCACGATCTTGCAGTGGCAGCCGTAGAACTACATCTGAACGACTGATTGTCTTCATTCACACCATAAATACAGCCAATAAAAGGCTCACTGTGCTTTTTTACATTGCATGTTCTAAACGTAATGGGACATTTAGGTGCCAATAGGCCTGCTTTATACAGCGCAAGCCTGAACTAATTTGTCACGAGAGGTCAATGTCATACGTGCTATTTTTGTTTCCCCTTTGTTCATTTTAATTCTATGCTCAAATCGCACTTTTATCAAGGTTCTAATTCAACATCGGAACTTTGGCATAGTAGATTGGATCTTTGAATCATTAATGAACAGGCCATTCATTGTATAAGGGGGGGTAGTAACATGCCGTTAAATAATTCATTAATTAAGCAGAAACCTAAGTGCAACACAAACAGCCAGATCCACACTGACGATCCTGTACGAAGCACAATCTACTGTAGTGTAGCAAATTCATAATTAGCTGATGTACCAAAATGTATTTGTTTAAAAACACAGGAACAGGAACCAAAGCTTGATTTCTTTTCCTCCGTATCTCTCTTACGGTTCGCGTTACATGTCAGACCACAGTTACCACTACAAGGGCCAAAGCTTTTTCTGCCACCCAAGCAGAAGTTGCCTTGACCGCATCTTTCATACAAATCTGGCAAATGGTAAAAAAAAAAGAAGCAGTTTTATGTAATAAATATATGTTAGTATTTTATTTGTCTCATTTGTATTCTTCTCATAGTTGTGTGCAATATTTGTGATCGTATTGGATATTTGACGAATGTTTTAATTTCCCAGTTACTTTGTTTAGTTTTCTTTTGGGGTTATTAAGGAAATAGAATATGTAACTTGAAACTGGGCAACATGTCATGTGATCAGAGCCCTCGGAAGCTTAGATCTTTCTCTGACACACTGTGTTAATCTTCTAAACAGTTCTTGGATTCTTTTTTGTGTCGGATCAGGGATGATTTTGCTTCATTACTTGTTTGCCTGACGTCAGATGTCAGTCATTGAAACATCCACAAGGTGACGGAGGCCTCACCCCATCTGCCGTCGTTTAGGCCTTGATGACTGGAGGGAGGAGACCCGATGCTGATCAAATACTCGGTAACATATTTAACCTTATTTTACTGATTGTCTGTGAAAAATCACCCTGGTGGGCCTTTCATTGACGTCCATTCTGGGTATTAGCATGCATCGTGTTCAGTCTGCTTTTTTTAGGTGCAAAAAAAGACAGTAATGGAAACTTGCTATCCTGGCAAGTTATCTTCAGCCAGGTAATTGAAAGCAGTGTGTTGGTGGTTATGAAGAAGAGCTGCATCCGCGGTGCCACTGCTGCGTTCTGCCTGCTGACACGAGGGTTCAGATAGTCTGTAGTGCTGCAGGCATCTGTCCTAAAACCCAGAAATGTGACTGACCTAATGTGATCGACATTATTGGTCTTTCGGTTCCCTCTTCTTAAAGTTTCGGTGTTAAAACCGGCTTTTGTTAAAGCATCTAACATTTTGTCCTACGATACTAATTCTGTACATTTTCCTTTTGTTAATTTTGAAGCTTTTAGTGTTTGAAAAAAGGTGGTTGCCCACAGATGGCTAAACGTGACTACAAAGAGTCATTGAATATAATATACTATAATTGAATTATAATACAAAATAGTTGTTCCTCCATGCCACAGTCATTACTACTGTGTATTTCTAATGACATTTCATTAATGTGCCATTGAAGAAGACTAAACATCTGTGGTTCTTCTCTCAAAGCCAAACCTGTTGTTGCCGGCGTCAAACAAATATTTTGAATCCTTCTGCAAGAGTCAGTGGAGAATTTAGTTTGAGTCTCATGTGGTCCACTTTATCTGGAATGACATTTTTCTCCCCAGATCTCCCTCCCTGCCGAGTACAGTAGATGGCCTATATAGAATGATATCAAATATGGATAGTTCCTGCCCGGGGCTCCTCAGAAATATGCGGTATGTGTAAGTGTTCACATAATCCTGCATTACTCAAGATCATACAAATGTGAATATGATGAGAATCTTGGCTTTAAAAGGCCTCATTATGAAATGACAAATGAGATTCTTATGCCGCACTTTTGTAACCTTGTTCAAGACCTCGACACAACTAATAGAAATGTAATCTTGTATTGAGAGGAAGATCAAACCATTTACGCTGTTGAAGTGTCCTCGAGCAAGGCACTTAATCGCCTGAAGGCATCAGTGTGTGCTGTTGCGTAGTAAACGCTTCCCTGCGAAGAGATTAAAAAATGAATCTACCTAATGCTCAACACATGAGGACCCAGCTATAAAAAGACATTCGCAAATACAATAGAATGTCAGCTGAATATGTTCTTCATTACTAGAGGATGGCGAGATACAAGGGAGCAAAGTGGTTCTATCTTCTACCGCCACCTAGTGGTGAGCAGAGGAACATCAACAGTCAGTCAGGTGGAAGAAAACAACAACACACGAGGAAGAAAAAGGCCACACTGCTGGCTTCTTTGGTAAGGACTGACGTATTTGCTCGGCCAAACGTGTCTTGACGTTGAGAGGCAACGTGACACACACACAAGTTCAAACCATTACACTGGAGCGGAGATTGATGCTTAACCAGCTGCTGTCTATTTCATGCTTTATTTGTCCTATAGAAAAGCTTTCATTAATGCCCCTCTTTTGTATCAATGTATTTCAGAAACTGCAAGGGATGTTTTCTTAATTCTTTTTGATGTCTGTCACCCCGTTTGTGTGTTTGTCGCTGTGCCATTCGTCTTTGTCTCACTCGCAGGACGGGTAGACAATGAGTCTCTGTTTAGCCTGGTAGGATATTTCTCGAATATGCATCATCACTCTTGTCCCACGTGTTATGTATGCTCTTGTGAGCATCTGTATGCTTTTGGTTGTGTAAAAAACATGACGGTGTCCCGCTGTGAGCGTGGACGGAGACCTTCCTCTGCATCCCGCCACCGTCCGCCTCCTGTTCCCTCCTCCTCTCCTGCTTTCACTCCTCCGACCCTCCTTTCTCTTTACTTTCACCCATCACACCATTACGGTCGTTATGTGATCACGACACACTGCTTCTCTGTTCGATGCTGCCCACAGCGTCAAAGCTGTAGTGAAGATTCCACTTGGATTCAGTGCAGAGTCCAGTTTCATGTTCTTATTTTTTGTTCTGTGTTCAGGAAAGATGTTAGACTAGCCAGAAAGACTTGTGTGTCTGACCAGCAGGCAACTGCAAATTGATGAGGTTTTATCAAACTGATTATAAACTCAATCCCAAAAGGAAACCTATAAGCTGAGAAATCCACACAGTTGAGAGTAGTTTAGTAACATAAATAACAGGGGAACAGGAACACAGAGAGACAGAGTGTATTGGAGATGCTGTTATTGAAAACATTACGATGAATTCTTTGTCATACCTGTGCTATTTTCTAAGCAGTCAGGCAGCTGTATCATATCAATGTTTGATAGGCTGCATTATTAATGAGACAGATCATACACACAGGTTTTGACGTAAACACCAGCTGTCCAGAAGCCAAATGTTGTAATGCAAGAACTGTAGAGCTGAAGAAAGTTACATTTCAATGGTAAAGCTTTTAAATGTGCAAACTCAGAAAAGCTAATGGATTCAAACCATAAACATAATCAAACATCGTCCCCTGGTGAATTTCACTTTTATCATCAACATGATTGTCATACCCAACTGCTTGCATGAAAAATCCACAAGTCATCGAGAGCAGATAAACAGATTCCACTCATTCTGATCAAGTTCAGTTCATCTTGTTTAAGAGATAAAGACAACCATCTGGAATGTAAAACCATCAAGTTGGGATGTTTTCCACTTTACAGAACCTACCTAGTTTCATGTTGGCTGCTTGGCACACGCCTAGTATCATCATTAAAACAAAACAGTCCCATATTGTTGTATATTTTAATGTATATTATACTCTTAATAAATTGATATATCTAATTCAGTAATTAATACTAATACAAATAAACAAACAAAACACTGGTGTGATATGCTGCAGTGAGGCTCAAACGGCAACACAACATTTATCCATAACATTGAATAAAAGAATGCAACTAGGGCAAGGTGTATTTCTTTGGCATGATGAATTCCATTCTACCGCCCATTAAACATGTTTTATTACTGGACAAGCGTTCCCAGCCTTACACGTGATTGGCCGGAGACCACGCCTGTCATTCAGCTAACCACGCCCCTACTGCTGGTGACTTCCGCTTCTGTGTCAATCCAAGGCTACTCACTTAATTCCTGCTCATCTCGCGGACTTGTCAAAACATTCCCTCTGCGCGCACCACCGAGGTAAGGCGATAGACGTTTCACTGCTCGGACTCGAGTCCCCTTTTCGAGGGGACACATTTAGCTCGTGTTATTTCTCACAAGGAAGGGTCCAACCATACTTAGTTAGCCACCTTTGTTTTTTAGTTTAGCTAGCCTGCTGGCTAACGTCAATGCTAGCTGTCAGAAGCGCACTGATGTCACGTCGACGCTGCAGCTGTCAGACGTTTGTGTTCTTCGGGACGAGCGCTACTCTACTCGCCTACGATTACCTTCCCCTCGTTTTAAATGGTCGGCCTCTGTTGATGAAGTTTACATGTGTCACGCTAGTTGAATTACTCGTTAGAACAGTATGTGCTAGTGTCAGTTGAGGGTCTAGCTTGTAGCATTCAGCGACGCGGTCTCCTCCGCAGCGACGCTATTAAGTTGTCAATGAACATTTTCATGAACAACAAACCGTTTGACGGTTATAGTTGTAGTTTTTCGGCATCGGGTTGTTTTCTAAATGTATTTGCACCCAGCTGTCTGTCATGGTGCTAAATGCGACGCGGACCCTCGTCGTTAAAGCTCCAAACAGAACCGGATCGGCCGGTCGGAAGAAGAGTGACGTTGCTACGCGACAGCCGGCCGGTTCCCTCGTGCCGGAGAGACTGTGGAAGTGTTACCGGCATCGGGATGTTTCTCCCCCTCCGGCTGCCCGCTGGCCTTTCCATCGCCACCTCGATCCGGGCTCCCGCAGACCGGAGCGTTGTCTCTCTCGTGTCGGTGTGCTGGGGGACATTGACCCGGAGGTCTGCGCTGACGCAGCAGGTTGTGTAGCTGCTCTGCGTGGTAGACGTGCTCCTCAGAGGCAGAGATTGTGTTGCTGCATCAACTGGTTTGTGATGCTGATGATGCCTGCAGAGATTAGGTCGATAGTCCCAGAGGGAGATTGGGTTTTTTTTTTTTATAGCCGGTGCACAGAAACGTTAGACAGACACACACACACACACACACACACACACACACGCGCAAGTGTTTCATTGACTCTAGTGTTAATTCGTAGATGATCGTTTGAATGGCATTTTGTTGTTGCAGCTTCTACAACAAGATTCAAGTAATTTGACTAAATAACCAATCGGGCGGATTGAGAAACAAAAAATCAAGCGACGGACGCCTGCTGAGTTAATTGTGCCATTTGCATGAGACGCAAGGCCCCTGTTCAATTACTGCTGTTATTTGTCTCAACTTCATCCCCCAAGGTGTCTTAATTATCTTAGTTTGTTGCCATGGCGATAGTCTCCATTTGAAAGTGGGGCATCCTATTGGAGCCTTACCACCACCCCTCCCGCCTGGCAGATGTCTTTGGTTGTTGGTGTTGTGGTCGGCTGGTGTGATGTGTTAATTCCTTTGACACCTTAAGAACAGATTGTATATATGCATTGTTCTAGTCTCTCTGGTTCTATTTAGGCAAACCGGAAGGACATGCCTTGCCAAATGCAAGGCATGTCCTAAAAAGCAAGATTTCAACACGGTTGAGATAAATATTGCAGTGATTAGAGGACAAACGCACCCTAAAGCAGATGTAACACTATTAGAAACAGCTTGAGCTATTCAGGCTCCCCTTGCTGTAGTTTGGGGATTTCAATTTTATTTTGTACAGCCCAAAGTTACAACTTTGCCTCAGAGGGCTTTACAGTCTGTACACATGCGACATTTTGTTTTTCTTCAGCGCGTTGCCACGATGAGGCAAAGTCTGAGCTCACACGCGCCCAGGCAACCATCCAGGCAACAGAGAAACAATGCAGTATGTTTCATTTATGATAGGAGCAGGCTAACGGCTAGCCAATTGGCAGCCGCGTTTGCTCCGCTTGGTTTAGCTCGCGCTCGTGGGGAGTTGGTTCTGGTCGGCAGGGACGCTGAGAGAAGAAGCTGCCAGACATTTTTGGTCAACGTCGGTGATGAGATTCATTATATAAAGGTCCAGATCTGTAGTCAACTCTCCTGATCAGACAAATATTTAGTGTGATGGTACAGCTCTGTTTGCTGGTTGTTTTCTGTTCCATCTTTCCTCTTGTTTACCGACAGCGGAGGCGACCTCCACAAATCAAGCTGAAGAGCGGCTCCTTAATGGTCTTCCTTTTCAGTAACACAACAACAACAAAGGCTAAAAGAATATAATCATAACCTGCTGCCGTATTGTTTTATAAAGACTATGTGAAAGTGTACCTCGACCATTTAAAGTGAATCCTGTTCATTCCGAGCTGTTACAGCGATCAACAGGTTAAAACCCCGAAACGGATTAGGAATCCATCCCTGCATAACTTATTGTCTCCGGCTGGACCACCAGAACACGTTGGCACCAACGCAAGAATCCAGCTCGACCGGGTTTTTGCCAGCTGAACCAGTCGGGTTCATGTCAGCGAAGCGGAGAACAATGCAGGTTCACAAAGCGCTGCTGCTTTAAAAAAATAATAATTGTGCACTCAGTTGGGAGTGTCAAGACCATGGAGGGTGACACAAGAAAGAAGTTTCGAGGCAAGGTGTTGAGCTGGCTTTCTATCGATAAACCTGTGTTGAAAGTAAGAGTCATCCTGGCAGGGTTTACCTCCTCGTCAGGGGAATGTGCTGATGCACGCTGTGTGTGTGTGTGTGTGTGTGTGTGTGTGAGAGACTGTGTGCTTAGTATCAGTACTCAGAATAAGACGGCTTCTGTGCACCAAAGGAACGTTGTGTTCAGATAATATTCTGAAAGCATCATTTTTCCAGGCTAAGCGACAACAAGACTTAATTTGACCACTGTATTTATTATAATACTTTACCACACCTGTATGGGTGGTACACAGGGTAAAAGTAAAAAGGACACGTGTCCTCACAAGGGACCTATTGTTGATTTGATGAGGCAGAAATCAATCTTTAGTGTTTGCCCGAGTGGTCAAAACGTCTTGGGTTTCCTGCAAATGGTTCACTGAGTAGAATAAAACTGATAATGTTACGGACTGAGGAAAAAAAAAAAAAAGAGTAATTTTTTTTTTTACTTTTACCTTTCATGTTTCAAACAATGGTCTTAAATGTTTTTAAATCTCTTTTGCTTTATGTTTGGATATTTTTAAGAGTTTTATTCAAAGCACTTTGAATTGCTTTATTATTGAAACGTGCTACACACAATACAAATAAAAGCGCCTTTCCTTACACTGTAGCTGTGTGATGGGGAGGAGGGCGCAGACCTCACCAGTCAGAAGGAGACCCTGCTGACGTTAAGTCTAGTTCTCAGAGAGCAATGTAGCTGATGTATCTGCTGTGAAACCACTTGGTGTAAGATCGGCTCAGATTGTGTGGTAGCTCTTATGTCTTGATCTCTGTCCCAATGACAATTCGATTTAGAGGAGACATCAGTATTCTCCCCCACTGTCCTCAGTGTAATATTATTTGAGTGATGGTAAAAACATGTTTGTTATCTTTGTGCTTCTGCACTGGAGGGCTGCCCCACAATGCAGTGTCTCAGTATGTGCATTACTATCAGTGCGCCCTATGTTTTTGCATCTTTTCCACAATGCATGGACACTTTTGTGGGATTCCATTTTTAATGAATCACACTACAACGGCTAAACAACATCAGTACATTGACCTTACAAAGACCATTACAGGTGTGCTGTAATGTGTTTCCCCCGATGAATTTCCCCCTGCATGCTTTTTTTTTTTTTTTCAGCCTAACTTATTAGTTAATTAAGATAAATATTGCTATCAAGAGCAACACGTTGGCACACTGCGAATTTGTTTGAAAGCATTGCATGTGGTGCTGGATCGCATGCCCACCACAGTCAGACCACTTGGAAAACGCTCCGGGTTCAGAGCAGTGGAGTTTCATCTTGTGATTGAGGTCAAATGAATGATTTCATAGTCGCGGTCGTACTTTGTAAAAGTTTGTGGCCTGTTGACATTTTCAACTCGCTCTTGGTAATGGTCTTGTGATCGGTACTTCCAACCCACTTCCCTCAGAAGCAATGTGTCCTGTTGTGACTATAGACGATACACAGCAGCAGATGATGATGATGATGATTTGAAAGCAACATTTCAAAACATTTGAATTCAATTGCCAGGGTCAGGCTCGTTTGTGAAAGTGAAGACGACTCTCAGATTTGGCATCTACCTCATGTTCTTACCTATAAATGTCGCCACCAATATCATTTAGTACGTGATCTGCAACAGTGTGGTAGTATGAGACAAATGAGAGGGACACCGATGATCTGGTCCTGAACTGCAACGCCTGCAATGCAGCCAAACAAGGGAAACAATAAGCAAAAAATATGAACAATATAGCTGTGACCTGCCGTAAAGTAGCTGCTCGGTAGATCTAATTCAAAGGCAACCGGGTCTCTGCTGAAACAATATTCAGAGAGTTCAAAGTACATTGGAGGTCCCTTAAATTTTCTCCTGAAGTGTCACAGCCACTACCGTTTGTGCCACTAAAATGTCTGTAAGGCAAGAAACTAAACTAAGGATGTTGGTCAGCAAAGAGCGGACACCTTCTAGCTGCTGCAGACTTAATGAAGTTCATTGCAGTTGTTTATGTTTCATTCCCATTTTGCGCAGCTCCAAACATTGCAAAGTGATGGGGAGAGAAAGGAGGTTGCATGCGGAAAACCAGCTTTGTATAAAAGGTCCAGGAGCTCCTGAAAAAACAACCTGCTGTGGAAACACCGTTCTGGTAAGCCGCAGGTCCGGCCCGGCGGGATTCTGTTCAGATGAGGCTTGTTACTGAACACAGCCGAGCCTGCAGTGGTTTCAACTGGAGCTCAACCCTACCAACCCTCCCAGTCCAATCGGAACGTTGCAATTTGGTGACCTGAACGCTTGTTACGAACATCAGCATTCAACCCTTTGGGGTTTTTGTTTGTTTGTTTGTGTGTGTGAGAGAATTAGACCTGTGGTATTTATTTCACGGTCTACACAGGTGTGTCACCTATTGAAGTAGGTGTGTGTAACAACAAGAAATAGGTGTGTGTTTAGCACAGCAACCTGTGTGTGTGTGTGTGTGTGTGTGTGTGTGTCCTGGTATTCACACACAGAGACATGTCGGAGTCAGCTTGTTTTTGAGCGTGTGTGTGTGTGTGTGTGTGTGTGTGTGTGTGTGTGTGTGTGTGTGTGTGTGTGTGTGTGTGTGTGTGTGTGTGTGTGTGTGTGTGTGTGTGTGTGTGTGTGTGTGTGTGTGTGTGAGAGAGAGAGTCGGACGTTGCCATGTTAGTATCTGTCTACTGGACTTATGGATGGAGGAGTCGCATCGGTAGGTTTGTCTTTAGGGGTTTGAAAATTTGCCGGTGATGCGGATTCCCATCGGAAAGTTAGATAAAGAGGGGTTGCCACGGTAACGAGCTTTAATATTACCTCTTTGTGATATGAAAAGACGAGGTCAATCATGCCCGTACAATTTGGTAGATCAGAGGCTAATATAATAATAATTATCTTAAATGCTAGCATGCTGGTATGATTATCGACCAATAGTTAATGTCTTATTAATTGTTGTGTAGTTAATGCTCCTCGCGTGTTGGTTTGTGATAGAGACCTTTACTCCTGTCCTAAGTATGTGGAAGATATAACCGATGTTAAGGATATTATTATTTTATTTATTCTAAGGCCCAATGAGGTTTAAAGGTTTAACTGTTTTATTTTCACTTGTTATTCATGAGGTGTGTGTGTGTGTGTGTGTGTGTGTGTGTGTGTGTGTGTGTGTGTGTGTGTGTGTGTGTGTGTGTGTGTGTGTGTGTGTGTGTGTGTGTGTGTGTGTGTGTGTGTGTGTGTCTGTCTCTCAATGCTTGTCATGGTTACAGAGCGAGCGCCATGATCTGAGAGCCTAACGCCGCCAATCAGAGCTTTCTCTTAAATTTATCAGAATAGTTATTGGAGTGAAAACGTAATATTACCTAAATAAAAGCTTCCCTTCATCCTGTGTTGATGCTGGTATCCGATTCAAAGAAATATCTGTTCTGCAAAAAATGAGTCATTGACCTTAAGATCTTATCCAGTTCCATTCCCACATATGGGAAGGATTCTCAGTCGCTGTCATTTTCAAACGTACAAACCTAATCATTGAGGTCTCCATGTTGAGTGTTTCTGCTTTTCTGTGCGTCAGGAACATCTGGAGGATCAAGGGAACAGAATCTGTTTCACGTCCTCCAAAGGCAGCCAGGGGTTATAGTTCAACCAGTGCCCGTCACACTTTCCCTCCAGTGTCTCCGATCCAAAAGGAATTCTCTCCTCTCTTTTTGTAAGAACTTCTGTGTGCTTGTTGTCTGCAACCTGCTGCTTCTTGTTTGCTTTCTTCTTCATTTGGATCAGTCGACCTGACTGAGAATAAGTATCTGAGTATGTCCTTTGGTCAAAATGCGTCACTCCAGGTAATAAACTTGATTTCTTTTCCATTGCTGTTTACGTGAGTGTCAGAACTAATTATTCTACTCGATTAAACAATAATTCAATAAAAGTGTGTTAGGAGTTTAACCAGAGGAGTGCAGCTGGCCAGATGTTCATGCTCTATTTCCATATGAGAAAATGCTGGTCCCTTTTTTAATTCATGCAAATGCTACTGTATTTGCTTTATTCAGATAGGCCCAGACGCATGTTGGCACAAACTGCTTTATGTCTGCCTGATCTCAGACACTCTGTAGAAGCAGCAGCAGAAATAAAGACGATATTTCCTTGCACAGATGAAGTGGCCCTGTTTTGGCCTATCGAACGCCGAAGAATATCCCCACAAAGCGCAGAATGCAACTGGGGGCCCTTGTTTCCTCGTGATCGCCGCTTCACACGGGCAGGAATGAAGTACTGAATAAATACGCGGCATAAAGGTTATCGCGATTAGGCGTGGTGATGTTTCGCCACGCAAAGTGCTCTTGAGGAGTGACCAATGGTGGCCTGCGTGTCCTCGCTCTCCGGAGACGTCTTTCTGACACCGGAAGGCACTACGGGTTTAAAGAACGTGATTGAAGGTTGAACTTTGAAGGAGTTGCTAGGACATTTCAGTAGCGCTTTGTCACCCATTCGGTCTGCCTTATCTATTGTGAACACAGAGGCCAGAGTTCACCTGTGTGCTGAAGGCGTGGTCTGTCGCTGCGGCAGGTAAGAACCATTCAGCTGTGCGGCAGGAAAGGAAGGGGACAACAGATGCTGCTTTTTGCTTTTTCCCCTGGATTCAGCCTTCAAAAGTGGATGAAACCTGTATGAAATGATTGGTTTTCACTGCAGGTATGTATAGATGTTGTAATGATGACAAGCTTAGAAATAGTAGACGGCGGTTCGTATTTTCCGTTGAAGGACGAAGCTGTTTTCCAGTAGCAGAGCCGAGTGCAGCTGTCATTGGGTGATGTTGTCTGAAGCCGTCCTTCCTGCAGCATGTCACGTCTCATGCTACATTCAGGCACAGCTAAGAGCGGTAATGCAGGAGGGACAAAGATGGGGACGGATTCAACAGCACTCAGCAGAGGTTCATTTTAGACAAACCGTTCTCGTGTTTCATCCTCTCGCTCCTCATTTGACGATTATCATTCCAGGGTTGCAAATATTTGCCTGTTAAGTGTGTTAGGCATATTACTTCCTGAAATGTAAACACGCCTTTGGGAAATTCGGGGGCCGAGCATGGCGCACAGATGTTATGTCACGATGAGGCTATTCATTCACAGGTGAGCTCCATTCTTGTAAACGTGTGATCTCGGGGATGCCTCGAGCGAAATTTGGCACAAACCTCCCTGAACTGTTTACATGTTGGTGGTTTGAAGTCAAGGTCAGCGTGGCTCCGCATCCAACCCGCTCTCCTGTAGCCATGTCTCATTAACACAGTGAGGGGATGTCTTCACGTGTGGCACAAACAAAACACTTAGAGTCTGAAACATGGCTCCTATTGGCTTTGCTCTACCGTGTGTTGGAAAAGAGATTAAAATGTTTCACGTCAGTTTGCATAAAGGTCGTAGCGAGGAGAGAAACGCAACCAAAGCGGTTTTATCTGCTATCAGCACACTGAAGTATTTCCTCCAAAAAGCATTCTAAGGGCGACCGGCTGAATACGTCATATGTTGTTCCTTCTGTTTAATCCCTTCCGCCTGTATGCGAAGGGTTTAAGTGCACCGCGGTTCCACCTTCACCGATTCGCACCCTGTCGCCGCTGCTCGCTGACCTTCACCCATGTAAGAAGGGCGCTATGCATCGTGGCTAAACGTTATGATTTTTGAAAGCTAATTCAGTGCAGTGCCACAGGAGCAAAATGCACACCACTTGATAAGCAACCAATTAGACCAAAAACCCCAAAGAAAAAGGCCCAATATTTGTGGCTTCCCAACAAAACCAAAGGAACACCGTGTTCCAGATCTATTTCTGCTTCTGGGAATGAGGAAAACAAGTCGCCACACAGAAACCTGTTTCATACGTGGCCCAAACAAACCTTAGAGGCAGACATTGAAGACTAAAAAACAAGGTATGGTTTTTAGCAGTTATTAATTTTGTCTTGTTCCAGCATTTGTTGCCCACTGCTAGTTTCCCCCTTTATATCACAGCCCCGAATCTTTTTCCTTCATGCCGTTTCATTTCACAATCCATCTTTTGTGACTGAATGCGAAAATGGAAAGCTAGTGTGAAATGATGAAGAGCCAGACTGCAGGTAACTAAGACCCAGACTGCCCGATGCAGTGGTGTCCCCGTTGTGTAACAACTGGACTAGAAAACTCTTGTTTGCAGTCAGTGGGCCGTGATGGCCCAGACTCAGCCGGACTCAGCAGACTTTGAGCTGGTGGCTTTGATGTCGATCCAACTTCCTTCAAATCACACTGCGGTTATAACTGGTAGTTGCTGCTGTGACGTGGTAACAGGTTTTACCATGAATCTCAAGAACTGTGTGTTGTCCTCGTTTGTCTCTACAGGTCACTAATTGACTTCTCGTCAAAGGCACGAGAAACCCAAGCAGAGCTCAGACGTGACAGCATTCGTCCGCCTGCTGTCCTAGAGCCGGTTTGCTGTGATTGACGTCTCCTGCCGATATAGAAATTGCCGTCGTTCTGGCTTTTGGACGATCCCTGGACATTGTTTCCTTGGCGACACTCCAGAGGGACTTTGATTGACGGGTCGCCCTCCGGAGGAACTCTGAGGGATTCGCCTCCAATAGGAACATGTGCTGAGAGTTCATCTGTCCCAAACGACTGGTGGCCTTTGACTCTAGAAGATGAACAATGAGGATGAGTTCTACGACGCCGTCACAGGTGGGAGATTGTGTGTGTGTGTTAATCTGTGTTGCTGATTGGATGACAATATTTTGCTGACTGTCTTGAGAGCTTGCATATGGATTGTTTCCTCAGATCTTGTTTTTGCGGCGAGAAGCTGTCATTCCTTATTAGATGGGTGTGCCTTTGTTTTCATCATAGAAGCATGATGGCATTCAATGGAACTCAACCTGCTTTAGTCTAATGATCAGTTCAATAATTCAGAGGTCTGTTGTCTTGCATTCACCATCATCAATGTCAACCACACCCTGGATTCAAGAGGACTGGGTGCTTGCGCCAAAATAAAAGTCCATTCGCTCAATCTGACTTTGTTATTTGAGTGTGTAGGAGCTTGACTAAAAGGAAACGTATTAGTTTCATTTCATGAAACGGGCAGAGGAGGAATGGTTTTCATGATTGGGAATATCAGCACATAACACACTTGATCTGATACCCCGTCTCGAGGAAGGCCGTAAATTCACCCGGTCTCATATTCATGATGAATTGGTTTCAGATTTCTGCTACTGTGGAGCGAATAGACAAGTAGTCATCCAGCTCAACTCTCACGAGACGCCGTGCATGCTAACGTTACCGTGGTTTGATATCACGGATCAGTCTGTTACAAAGCGGATTTGCTATAAAAGCGATCTGGCGTTTCTTTGTCTGGAGGCAGTTGTACATTAGTTTCCGGCCCTCCGGTGTCATCGGGGCTGTTTGCTGTTTGAGGCGTATCTTCACTAGCATTCCAAGGGTCTGACTAGGCAGACCGTGAGGGATGAACCTTGAGCAAATACATTTTTGGCTTTTGGAACTTCCCAAAATACCCGTGAATAAAAAGCAGTGCGCACAGCAATGGATCCTGGGATGCGATCATAAGCAATAAGAGCGTGCAGTCCACATGGATTTTGGTGGGTTCACGTTTCGCTGTGGAGGAAACATTGACGGACCAGCCGTTTGTGTCCTTAATAGAGTTAATGTTATTCATGTTGGGTTGAAGGGCCGGGGAAATCCGGCTCTGACAGTAATTATGAGCACTATTGTTTTGCTACGTTTTACTGCCAGTTTTGTCCTCGTACGTTATCCTCGATATGGCTGCGTGTCTGTGTGAGTCGGCCCATCTTTTGTGTCATGGTTATGATCGTCTTACAGATCTGAGACCGATGCACAGCGGGGCAGATGTATTATTCATGAGCACATGTGCACAGGCTCCAGCTGGGATCAGCACCAGGTGCCTTGTTGTCCGGTTTATCCCCCTCAGTGGACCTCTCGTTTAGGATGACATGGATTGAAGTTCAAACCATCAGTCCTTTAGACCAACAACGAGTTGAAGAAAGCACAACAAAGTGATTATTGTTTCAAGTCATTCTGCTCTTAGCTTGCTTCATGACAGCTATCAGAGGCTTGGAGAATATGATCACATTACTGTGTGTGTTTACTGTATTCTACGGAAACATTTTGAAGGGCTGAACTCATTTATTCTGTGCCCCTTTCCATATTCTATATCCAAGACCGCTTACCTTATATGGTGAGAATACGTGGTACCTTTTGACACACAGCTGAGTGTGTGTTCACCCAATGATGATAAGAACACTGGTGATTATAAGCTGTTGTTTAGGCCCCACCTCAAGGACGTCACAGCGCCACCCTGCAACACTTAACACTGGTGTACTGTTGATGTTCGGGGCAGCACATGGGTGTAGGTCATCCCCAGAAGGAATCCTCACAAACTCGTTACTGCCCATTTAATCACATTAACTGTCAGGCCGGGAAATGCTTCTTTATTTTCAACCAAGTAGTATAAAGGTAAACTGTGTTTAAGCACTACAAGTAGCCCGGCACATAGTGTGACTTCAACTTTGGAATCTTGCCAAATAAACATTCACAGGCAATCAATACAATTTGCCTGTCAGACACAGAAGTTCCTGATGTAAAATGTATGCAAATGCATGCAGTTTGCAACATTAAACCGACCATTTAATACACCGTCCCTACAGGCCTGGATTCTGACGAGTCCTATGAGGGGATGTCGGAGGCCAGCTTCAAAGATGCAGTTGTATTTGATGGCAGCAGTCAGAAGAAGAACGGCTCGGTGGCACAGGAGAACGGCATCAGGAAACACAGGTACTGCAGCATTCCTGCACCTCGTTCCAGCTGCAGGGTGCATTGTTTAGGTCTGTTGATGGATGACATTTTGTCCACAGAGTCTTGAAGCCTCTCACTCAAACCAGTAACAATGTGTTGGGCTGGGTCAGAACTCTTTCTGGTTTGGGGTTGGAGAGAATAACACTGAAAAGTGATTGGCTGTGAGCTGTGAGGGGAAAACACTGGGTGGTGTTCTGTGGTGACGGCTTCTCAGGTGCTGATTGGTTGATTAAAAACAAAAAGGAAAAGCACTATTGTTGATATGCATGAAATGTACTGGGGAATCAATGTAAATATAATTTAGTCTCCATATCCATGATTTAGAACACTATTCTATTGGTTGGCATATGAATCTATAAACCTGTACCTTAATCTATGAATACCTATTGTTGTAATCACATGCGTTCTTAGCATTACTGCCTTGGGCGGGAGATGAGATCTACAACAAACGGTATCATGTGTCCATCTAATCTGCAGCTTTTGTCCTCTTTGTCTGTGCACCATTTCCTCTGCTGAAGAAACTGAAGCCTTTCAGAGGCCCCGCCCCCTTTTTTTCCCTTTCTTTTCTCAAAGGACATTTTTAAAAGCTTGTAAAGAACTTTTCTCAGAATTTTGTGTCCAGGAGCAAATTGTTTTCCCAGGAAGCTGCAAGTATGCAGCCCTGGGACCTTTTCATTCTGAGAATTCATCACACATGCGTACTGTGATTTATTATTATTATTATTATTCATGTACTTTTCTCACTATGTGGAGTATCATCATGTCTTTTCTGAAGTAAAAGAAACCAGAGAGGAGGTACGTCGGTGGGGCAGACAGAGTTCATTTCTCTTCCCCTCTCCATGTAGCATTTGAGGCCGGCAGACCGATCACATGCTCGACTTGTTCTAACCTCGGTGTTCATTCTGACCCGTTTGCTGGTTCAGATACTGTTGCTACTGATCACCACAGAGAGGAGAAAGCCAGTGCGACGTGTCAGAACTTGAGTCTCTTTTATTGGTGGAGAGACCTGCATCCCAATTCTTCTCTTCTTCCATTTCAGGACGTCATTGCCCTCGCCCATGTTTTCTAGAAACACTGTCAGCATCTGGGGCATCCTGAAGAAATGCATCGGACTGGTAAGTATTGGCTGCGTGATGTTTTTCGGATCTTGCTGCCTTGTTTATTTCATACACAATTTCTCTCCTCAATTATTGTGTGGGCCAAATGTGAAATACGGACTTCATGTTGTGGTTTCTCACAGGAACTCTCAAAGATCACGATGCCCATCGCCTTCAATGAGCCTCTGAGCTTCCTGCAGAGAATAACCGAGTACATGGACCACACTTACCTCATTAACAGAGCCTGCTCTCTGCCCGATTCCATAGAGCGCATGCAGGTCAGACACACACACACACACACACACACACACACACACACACACACACACACACACACACACACACACACACACACACACACACACACACACACACACACACACACACACACACACACCTTTTGCATCATCTACATCCCCATATCATGTACATGCAGACAGCCGGCCATCACTGTATGGACTTAAATAAAATTATGTATATATGTTTTCCTGTGTACAGGTGTTGTTGGTGCCTTGACTTTTTGAACACTGACGTGTCTTTTTTTAAGTTTTAACAATTTTATCTATAATATTAGAGAGTGCGCCGGGAACCACAAGGTTGGTGGTTCGAGCCCCGCCTGCTCCATGTCGAAGTGTCCCTGAGCAAGACACCTAACCCCTAAGTGCTTCCCGGGCAAAAATGTAAAAAGCTATGGGTTAAAAATGTAATGTAAGTCGCTTTGGATAAAAGCTAACTGACCTGTAATGTAATGTAATAAAACGACTAGAAAAATAATGCAATTTCAATAGTAGTTTAACTACATTATATTACGTGATGTAAACAAATGAAGCCCCCAAATCCAAGTGTGTTGTTGAGAAACGTTCAGCAATCACTACTTTGTGCTTCCAATTGCAGTTTTGACCGATCAGCTCCAGCTGATAACAAAAAGTAAAGGTGAACAATTGAGTACACTGATGGTGTACTTAAACAAATACATGAGATACATTTAATTTGACCTCTATGTACTCATGTAATGCACTGATCTCCAGTGTATCTGAGTAGTTAATCAACTTACATGAAAGCCCTGATACGCGCGCGCGCACACACACACACACACACACACACATGCATTTACCGACAGAGCCCGACTCCAAAGGATTTAAAACAATTACAAAGGCAACACACACGTATATAGAAATTGTCAAGTCACACACTCACTAACCGCATCCGTACATGTGTGTTCAGGCAGTTGCTGCTTTTGCTGTGTCGGCAGTTGCGTCTCAGTGGGACAGAACTGGGAAACCCTTCAACCCTCTGCTGGGAGAGACTTTTGAGCTCACTAGGTAGACACACACACACACACACACACACACACACACTGCCTTCGGAAGGGCCCTCAGTATTTGCACGCCCTTTACCATCCCTCTTCTCCAATGTCCTCTATAGAGAAGATCAGGGCTTCCGGCTGATATCGGAGCAGGTATCCCATCATCCACCAGTCAGTGCCTTCCATGCAGAGAGTCTGGTCGGGGACTTTGTCTTCCACGGCTCCATCTACCCCAAACTCAAGTTCTGGGGCAAGAGCGTTGAGGCGGAGCCAAAGGGGATCATCACGCTAGAGCTACTCAAGTGAGTCCAAAAGTTTTATTCCTCGTCTTCTGTCACTTTCTGTCACTTTCTAATTCCTCTGTTCTTCCCTGCCCTTCATCCCACCCTGATTGTGACTCTGTTTGTGGTTTCTGCTCTCCTGCAGGCACAACGAGGCGTACACATGGAGTAACCCTTACTGCTGCGTACACAATATCATCCTGGGAAAACTGTGGATCGAGCAGTACGGCACGGTGGAGATAGTCAACCACAGGTAAACTACGCTTAGGAGATGTCGCCTGTTATGTTTGTGACCTTTTCCTGTTGTTGGGATGCTGAATATATGGTGACACACCGGTTTATCATCAGACACATAATATATGACAGAAGTTCAGATTGAACAAGTTACAGTAAAAAAATGGGCAAGAACGTTAATTGATTAACTTCATAACTGTTTTCCCGTTAATACTAAACTAATGTCGGAGGCTCCTCACAATTTCCTTGGTATTCCAACTAACTGCAACTATATTCCATCTGCCAAAGGGATTTAATCAAAGCCAGAAAATTGACAGGCATAGCAAGCAAATATATGCTCACTTTTATAATTATGACAAATGTCGTTAATCATTTTTATTTCTCTTGTAAGCCATAAAGTGGGTTTAAAGGGAATTAAAGTCATCAATAGTGCTCATTGTCCTTTATTGGTGCTAAATAATGATTACAGTATCACTGAGACACACACACACGCACACACACACTCGCTCACAGTTCTTTAGAGGAAACTAAGTTCCAATATAAAACTATGCTATGAATGGTCATAGTAACGCTGTGATATCGGTTGCTCACAGAGCTTCCGGGCTCCTTAGTTTACTCTGTCCCATCGGTCACTAGTCTACAATCAGACTGCAGCTTGTTTACCTTCTGGGTGTCCCCTCCGGCAAACAAACCTGATCTCTATTTAAACCTTTGTCTATCCAGCGAAGCTCTGCGGGGCTTGCATTGATTTTATTAGCGTTTTGTGCGATCGTCACAATGTGGCACTGATTTCCCAATTTACTTTTACAGTTACATTTTTACTATGGAAAACAAAGGCATGGCAGAGATAACGGTGGGTTCTTTTTCTCTCCTCTCTGCTTGTGCAGCACTGGAGACAAGTGTGTGATGAACTTCAAGCCCTGTGGGATGTTCGGCAAAGAGCTTCACCGAGTTGAAGGGTACATTCAGGATAAGAGGTTAGAGTTCACTCTCACAGTTTGTAACTATGGCAACCACAGTATATTATATCGTTTCACAGCTTGTGACATTACCAAAGTTTTTGTACTAATCAGGTTCTTCCTCCTCATCTCTTCTTCCTCCACTTTATCTCCCCCCCCCCCCTTCCCGTTCTCTCTCTAGTAAAAAGAAGCACTGTGTCATCTATGGGAAGTGGACCGAGTGCATGTGGAGTGTGGACCCTCAGGCCTACGAGGCCCACAAGAAGTCAGAGAGGAGAGGAGACAACAAGAAGCAGAAAAATGTGAGAACCATTTAGAAGAATTCTTTATCCGGCACCTCTACTGCTCATATTACTCCCATAGTCTGAATGTGATAGTCTACTTCTCTACAATTGGTCTTAGTCCCATTTGTTATTACTAAGTTCTCCTCTTGAGTTCCTGATGACGTCCACAGCAACCTGTGTGGTCTCAACCAGGTAAACCGCTGGGCTTGTGGAGGCTGTTGAGATCTGTTTGGTCATTTGTAGTGAAGCATAATATCTCTGATAACTCTACTGAAGGAGGTGACGGGCACTTCCTGTAGATAGTTAGTCCCGTACCATGTGATGTTAGACTCCACTCAGCCCTGAGCACATTGATTTTAATGGCGGTGACAAAGAAGTGTGTCATTTCCAGGAGGAGCAGGAGGGAGCGGAGAACGATGACGCGGACGATATGCCTGACGTCCAGGAGACGGTTTCTGTGGTTCCAGGAAGTACTCTGCTCTGGAGGATAGACGCCCGACCGCCACAGTCCGCCGAGGTATTAAAGTAAAAACACATGCACGCTGCCAAGGTCCAAGTCCCCCCAGATGAACGTCCCTGAGGCTCCACTGACTAACACATCCATAATCCCTCTTCTTCCTCCCCCCCTAGATGTACAACTTCACCCACTTTGCAATGTCTCTGAATGAGCTGCAGCCCGGCATGGAGGCCTTCTTGGCCCCCACAGACTGTCGCTTCAGGCCGGACATCAGAGCCATGGAGAATGGCAAAATGGGTAATTTGATTTTAAACTCCCTAATCAATGCTTTGTGGAGTCCTGTTTGCCTTGTTTGGCAGCAACGCCCTGCAGAAACCTACAAAGATAAAATTATAATCACAAGTCACATCTGACACAGATCACTGGTACAGATTATTCTCTCAGTGTAACCGAAAACAAATAAATGACTGTGATGCTACCGACTGAAGGATGCAACTGAAAAAGATACAAAGAGTGGAGAGTAATAAGACGATGCTGCCACCTGCTGGCGGGTCTGCGTCATCATTGATCTCCATTAATGATCCATGTGTTGTTCTTCTGCAGATGAGGCCAGTAAGGAGAAGGAGAGACTGGAGGAGAAACAGAGAGCTTCCAGAAAGGAGAGAGCTAAGAACGAGGAGGAGTGGACTACCAGGTGGGAAACACACATGTGCGATCTCTCAGTGCTCTCAATTCAATGCACACGTAGCTGAGCTCTCAACAATTCATTTCAAATTGATTTAAAATGATTGCAAAGCAACTGAAAATATGTCTCATCTGTGCAGAGCTTTGTTAGTGTGATGTGAAGATTATACTCTTTTTAATGGTAGTTTCTCTAAAAGGTGAGTTAAAGTCCAGGCTTTTTGATGCTGGCAAAGACCTAAAAGACTATATGTTTAGTTACTTAAAGGGGCAATAGACGACTTCTCAGCTCCCTCCCCAGATTCAGTCACTCATTCAGAACAGCTGTTACTTTGTTTGTTACTTCTTCTACTGCTGACAGTACTGGCAAAGAAGTTCCACTGATACTCTGGTAACTGTGGATGGTCACCAGGGGGAAAACAAACCCCCTATGCACGTCCTGTTTTTGTTGCCTGAGGGTTGGTGTCACGTGTCTTGTGCAGGAAAGCCAGCCTGTGTGTGTTTTCCCATTGTTGATCTTCGTGTGTCTCTCAGGTGGTTTCAGATGGGCACCAACCCGTACACCAACTCCCAGGGCTGGCTGTACTCCGGCGGCTACTTCAATAGGAAATACCAACACATGCCTGAAATCTACTGATAGCCCGGCAGCCTTCGTCCGCCTCCTCCTCTGTACCGTGCAATGACCTGCCTGTCATGAAATGGAGAGAAATGTTATGAACCCACGTACCCATCTTGATCTCACGGCCTTCATCGTCGTCCTGTGTAGACTGAGCGACCCTCCCCGCACTGAGTGCAAAGACTAACAGAGGACCCGCGTGCGCGTCACTCCTCGCAGCCTGCACGACGACACGCTTCAGGTCTTTGTTTTTTAAATCTTCACGTAAAGTCTTAGGCGCTGCTTTTGTGATTTTTGTATTGCATATCGACAAGCAGGGTTTTCCCACCTCTCGCCGTCGCTTAGAGCACAAGAATAGTTTTTATTTCTGACCACGCAAAACGAAAATGAACAGCGCACAAACTCCGATGTATCCGATCTGAATGTTAAACGTCTTTACAATCAAACTCTCACCAACCTGCCGAACCTCTGGACCACGAGTTTCCCAGGCATGAAGTAAAGCATAATGATCCCATCAATGGTTCATGGACGGGCATCCAGTCAGCAGGGACATCAGGGATGTGAATTCTCTTTTGACTGAGATGAATCTCGAGAATGCTTATTCTTTATTTTTTAGGAGCTCTGCAAATATACAAGTATAGACATGTACCACTGTACAGAAAAAAACACGAGTTCATTACTGGCGGACGCGTTGTATCCCTGGAACATTTACTCTTGCTGCCCCCCCAAGGTAGAAAACCGGTGTTTCCCCGACAGCGTGAGTGTACAGTGTGAGGGGAACGTGCGACCAGATGAGACGAAATTTAGTTCTGCGTAGTTTGATCTGTCCCTTTATGGAAGGAGTTTGACATTTTTATTGGAGAATATTTAACTGCTATGATGGAGCCGCCACCGTTGAGCAACAGTGCTGACATCCCCAACAACAATTTAAGTGACCGCAGCCTCACATTCACGGTGTGAGTGTATTAATATGTACAGACACTTATCAAGCCATGTTAGCTACAAGAGAGCGAGCGTATTTGCTGTGTGAGTAATGGCAATTTACATTATTGCTATTAATCTCGCTCATTAAGGCCCAGTTAAAAAAAGAACAATCGTATCGGCGTAATATTATGTGACATGATGTGCAGCTGGATTGGATGTTTATGTATACGGATCCTCTACAAAATTAGAAAATTATGACAAAGCAAGATAAAAAACTATAGATTAAAAATGGAAAGCCGCGTCGCCCTGGTCGACTCATTATGGCCCGCGGCTCGTCTCATAATCCGTCCACGTTTTTTTTTTTTTTTCAAAAGAAAACCCTAAAGAGAAAGTTAAAAAGCACATGGATGAATGTTGGCGCAAAAAACAAACTGAGCGAAACAAGTGTCCGAGGGTGAAAGCAGTGCACATCTAGTATTTGTACAGAAACTCTTCACTACCTGCTGCTGCGCTCTGCTCCCGATTCGCACCTCGACCCTCACGTTCCCCCTGTTTCACTGGTGAGAATGTTTTTCACAAAGGGAAAAAAAAGCACTTTGCTCCTGTGCTTTTGTTGGGTGAAGAAAGAAAGAAGGCGATGGATCTTCTAGGTTGCACCTTTTTAAATGAGGACGGAGGCGGTGGCACACAGCTATCGAGCAGCATCGTGTCCCTTGTGGCTCTAAAGTCAGGGCGACCAGAGCGTCTGGGAGCCATCATGCACTTCACTACAGCAACTCTATGCAACCGCTGCACCTCAACATGGACCTGTTGTACAGCAGCGTCCCCCCCCCCCCGCTCCCCCCCAAGAGCACAGACACACTCGTTGAGCCTCTCAGCTTCGCAAGCAATTCCTTTGCCTTCTTAGTTTATCTTACATTCCAAATGAAAAGGACATTCTTCCAATTTTTGGGGACGACGCATCTTGTATCGCCTTAAATGTTCGATTTGTGTGTTTTGTTTTTAAGAACTTAAATCTATGACTAATGTTTAGTGCCTGCTCTTTACATTCCCTTTTTTTAAATTTATGTTTATTTATGATTGAGGTTTCATGAAATACTTCTGTTGTCATTTTTCTTTTTGCTTCAACTAATTCAAACAGCTCTTCATTTAATTATTTCACGTAACATGAATCTTTATAGAGGAGCAGAGTGCGTTATCGGGGCTTGAAGTGAACGTCATTCACCAGTTTAACACTAGTCAGTAAAGTGTGAGATTTGTTGTTAAAGTACAAAATAATCTACATCGACACTACTTGAGTTGAAGTTCACACCAGCTAAATGCTACAGTTGTAAATGATCCCACAACAGAAACAAACTCTATGGAAGGTAGTTGTTGACCGTAAAGTGATTTGAGCTGGTGAAGTTGTGCGAGTTGTGCGAGCGGCTCAGTCTGACGTTGTGAAACTAGATTTGTTGCTTTGAGTGTCGGTTCTTTGTTGAGTTTGAAACTATCACGGGGTTCTCGATGTCGTATGTGTACAAGTGCTGCACAGAAGTAATCACAAGCAAAATGGCATATTATTTTGTGTGATTTATTCCTTTTAAAAAAAATAGTATTTAAGCAATTTTTGGTGAGAGAATTGTACCAGTTTTATTTTCAGGTGAGGGACTGTAAGGGGTCATATCCAATCTGTGGACATTTTCACATTAATGTACGAGCGGAAATGTTAACTAATAAATCCTAATTTCAGTTTATAACCTGTCTGTGTTTTCTGTTTTTTTTAGAAGAAAATGATTACATATTAGATATTACTTCAATTTGCTGAAAAAATAGAGACAATAAACCACATGAGTAGATCTGATTCTTTCGACTTTTCACTCACAAGTTTTAAAGCCTTTACATATAATAAATAAAACTTAATTTGAGAGTTAAAAAAATCAGACTTTAGAAGTTTAGTGAGAGAATTTACAGAATACAGCTCGTCGACTCTCATATAAGCAGCATCCTGTACGCCGCCCACACGCAGATACATCGTCTCCCACAACGTAAACAGACCCGTTAACACCCCCTGTCTCCGTCTCTACGGGGGGGACTTATCTGGAAGTTAGGCCGGGTCATATGTGGACCCGTGTCTGTAGACATACCTAGAACACGGCTGCCTGTGGTCTCATCCGTACGTTGCCAAAGAAATAGACAAAATCAGGTGCTGGAGTAGATTTGACTGTTCGCTTTGTTGTAAACTAACTGATTTAAAATGAAGGGTAAATTTGAGGATATAATCATATGTACGACACCTTGAACCGTGATGCTGTAAAAGAAGAAAAGATATATAAACTAAATAAGAGACATTTTTTATATATATATATATATATATAAACTAAAATAAGAGCTTACACAAAAGGTTTTTTTTTTCTTTATTTGTCTTTTCTTTATTTTCCTGATTGAAATGTATTGTAAGGTCATAATTTGTCATTCATCACATTACATGGCATGATGCACCAGGTCTACTACACCCATTTATAGGAGGAAAACACGGAAACATACACAAGGTTTTACAATGGGGGGGGGGGGGGAACAGGAAGTTTAGCTCATTGCACTTACAACAGTGAATGGAACACTTTGTAATCATTTTTAGGCTCTTGACCTTATTCTCTATTTTATTTTCACCCTCTTTTTTTCATTCAGTTGGGTTATTTTATTATATTTCTTTTCTTCACATCTCCATTGTCCAATTTGCCATCTCACCCTCTTCATCGCCCCAAAAATGAAATGGAAGCAAGAACGCTGTCCTCCCCCTTTCTTTGATGTAAATTTCCATTTTACAAACACAACATGTATAGAAACTCTGCACAGACCAATATGTTTTTATCTTTTTTTTTTTTTTTTGTATATCCGAATACTATTTTTTTTCATGAGTCTTAAACAGTCCGCACATTTTTTTCCATTTATTATTCACATCAGCAGCTGCTCTTTGCTTGTTATGTGTTTTTTTGTTGTTTTTTCATGTTTCTGGCAGGGAGGTTCAGGCTTGCATACGCGCCAGCTTGTGTCACTGTGTAGTGTGCAAAGGCCTCTCTCATGCCTGTGTGTGTGTGTGTGTGTGTGTGTGTGTGTGTTAGCATGTTTCAGATGTACATGTTGTATAGAACATGTTCTTCGTTTACATGTTGTTTGTTCAAAGCAGACTCTGGTTCTCATCTGGTATTTACACTGGTGGGAGGTCAAAGGTTGAGGAGGTCTGAAAGGTCAAGGGATGGTAGAGGAAGGGGGGGGGCTGCCCGCCCGCCCAGGTCATGCACTTGTATTTTTACAGATTCATTGCAGGTGAAAGATGAGTAAACGCTCCCTGATGGTTTTACAATGAAGGATGGATTTTTTCATGTTTCTTTCCACATAATTGCTGTTTTTCTTCACAACCTCTCACCTGTGAAACATTTACTTCTTCATATGTTAATAATATAATATTTTTGTGTATTTTATAATCTTTCTTTACATCGACTGACAGCAAGAGCAGTGGTGACAGTTACTACACTCCGTACCGTACAATCAGTTTCTGCTACTTTTTTGGTTAACACACAAACGCACGCAGTCCGGGTTTCCCAAAAGCATCATAAGCTGCATTTAAAAACCGACTTGACTCTTTTGAACTCTTCGTGGCGCTAAAAGTTTGTCATTTCTCCGTCCCGTGGCTGTGAAGTGAGAAAGAAACGCCTAATGCAGATACCAGAACGGTGCCACAGAGGGTGAAAAAAAGGTGTAAATGCGACCTTATTGCTGAGACTCTTGACGTCGGATTGAAAGGCAAATCAAGATTTTTGGAGATTATACTTCTTTTAAACACAAATCTGATGGAAGAAACTTCTCTTTGCTCCATGTCTGGAAATGTGAGCCTTTTAAACGCAAACTCCCCAAATTCTTTTGCACTCAACAAAACTAGACGGGGCCTTAAAGACGCTCTTCCAGAGAAGATCTCAATTCCAATTTGTATTTGCATTTTGAAGTGTAATCTTTTATTATCATCTACGTTTTGTGCTTCAACCACTTCTGGAAACCGGGGCTGCGGCGCGGTGATTTTTGCCCACTGGTGATTGCTGTGGTCTGAGCTTGCGCTCCTGGATTTAGACAGACACCATGCAGAGTATAGACAGAGACCACGACTGGCTAGAGGGCAGTAAAAGGATGGCTTTCTTCAGAGACCAGTATAGTAGTATAAAAGCCCTTGCTGCTATGCATATTTAAGTCACCTTCAGTGGTTGTATTCACACAGGAGCTGAAACTGGTTTTTTTTTTGGACACATTTCAACACACATGGCTTCATGGCTGCGTTCCGTCAAATGTTTCCGACCCCTCTAGTTGACAGCAGCGGTACGATCACGTCCGTGTCTTAAGGTGTGAGAAAAAATATCGGATTCATTGCGCCTGCGTAAACACACATATTCTTTTCTGACTATCTATGAACATCTGCGTTTAGTGTGTTCTTTCCTGAGGCAAAAGTGATTGAGGAACATTTTATTGAACATTATATTTTATTACAAACTTCCAGAACATACGACACACAATAGAGGAAGTTGGTATTAATTTGGGTAACTTTAAAGTCATTATTTGTTCTACTTTGACACTAATTTTAAGCTCTCACGGAGAAGTCACCGATCTGGTGGCAGTGTACCTGGGAATAATCACAACCTTAAAATCTCTCTCGAGGCTGAAAAAGAAACTACGACTCACATCCAGCTCTCTATCCCGCATGAGAAAATAAATTCTGACATAAAAATCATAAATCATCTCATAAATGTTTCACAAAAAATAGATACCGACTTATTTTACAGTTCCAGTGAAATGCAGTAAAGTGTATTTGTAAAGGAGCTGCGAGTTGAGGGATGTTTTCAATCCTCTAATTTCATAAATAAATTCTATATAATAATCTGTTTAATATCATGCTGCAACTCAAATAAATACAAATACACAATAATATGCAGATTACTTTCTCCCCAGAAATTAATGTTCCACAGTGTATTTAGCTTTTAAATTAAATCTACGTGTGTTTTGGCAGTGCACCTTTAAACACATTTTTGCACACACGCACACACACACACACACACACACACTTCAATTTTGGAATGCCTTGAATAGTCAATAGCCATTCGTTGGCTCCAGCAGTATTTTTAGTCAGATCAACCAGGACTTTTTTGCCATCAAACTAAATCGCTAAAATAAAATAAAGAAGTATTTCTTCTTCAACCCTGATGAGACACAAACCATATTAGGGAATATATTCTAAGTTTATTGTTATGTTTCTAAATCTTTATATATATATCATATTTAGTCATAGAAATCTTTTAGTTTTCTTTATATTAAATCTCTGGACAACTTTTCATTTTATTATATTTTCTTTTCTGCACAACTATCCATTTAAAATGGATTTTATTTCCTAGTTACTTCTGGGAAATAGATAATTGTCCCCGGAAAGCATCTTTTATGGGATGTTTGCTTTTCCTCATTCACATTTCTGTTTCCTTTATATCCAGTTCTCTCTTTAAATCTTGACATTAGTTATATCAAGAAGCGCACTATGAACCAGGTGTGATAGATGAATGAGTGACTTTTCCCACTTGTGTATTCGAATCCCTTCTCCTCCTCCTGTCTTTTTTTTTTTTTTTTTCTTCCCCCAAATCCGATTCATTGCATAGAAGGACTTGAGATGAGAGGTCGCCTCTTCTGTCCACCACATTTGTTGCGTTTGAACTCGTGTCATATTTTCTTTTCCACTTGGATGATGGTCGTTAAACGCACGCATACGGACCCCCACACACATACAGGAACGGAACAATATAGAGGTGACTTTGAGGTTTTCTGCGCCGGGCAGCATGCAAAGGTTCCCAGCGAGCGTTCACACAGACAATATACAGCAGAAGTTGGTTGGTTCGTTGGGTTTTGCTGAAGGCCTCGCAATGTTTGGCCCGACAGAGTAGGTTTTGAGTACCGCAGATCCCACAATGCACTGCAGGAACGACAGCAGGGAGAACACTGACCTGAGAAGTTTCCATGACAACCGACAGTTTGAGGAGGGAGAAGGTCTGTAGCGAGTTGGCTTACAGGTCTGGACGCCACCACGATAGAAAATGAAGAGTTAAAAAAGGCGAGTGACTTTGTGACACAACAACAAGTGTGTTACCTTTGGGTTCTTCAGTCACGTTAGTGCGGACTTTGTTCTTGTTTTTTTTCCCCCTTTCTTTTTCTTTGTCACCATTTTCTAGTGTGCTTTCACGTGAGCTGTGCACGTCTGTCAGAGTGAAGACACACACTGATGTGCGTACCAGTGAACATTGATCTCGGGTGGGGGGGTCAGAAGGGTCACATCGAAAGCCGAAGCCCACACGGGCGACGGCGACGGCAGGTCCGGTTCCGACTGGTCCGGTTCCGACTGGTCCGGTTCCGACGCGGCGAGTGACTGGTCTGCGTTTCAGTGCCTCTCTGCTGCCCTGCAGTGCTTTCAGATCAGACTCCGGTTGGCCGCCACGAGCAGCGCATCACTCCAAACGCCCCCGACGCGATGGAAGGCCTGACGTCTCACTGTAGGGTGGAGAAGGAGAAGATCCGGGTGGTACCAAACTGTCGTTCATGGGTCAGCACCTGCTCCCCAACGTATTGGTCCAGCAGTGTTACGATGCTTAAGTAGGTCTGTTGGTACATTTAAGTCAGACTTGAGTGGTACGTCGGTGGTCGTAAGACAGACGGAGGCGACGCGCTTCTGTTCCACAAAACTTTTAAGATGACACGAGATTGTGCTTTCTACTTTCTTACCACTTTCTCTATTGCTTTTTTTAAAAGTATTGATAATAAATACAAGTCAGAAAATTGACAGGGGGTGTGATGAAGTCAACATAGATAAATAAATATCACAAACAATTATCAAAAACAAAGTTGATTTAAAAAATATAAATTAATCTCACTGTGGCCAGTGTTCTGTTGGTATCACTACCTAAAATAAATATATGTGTTACAGGGTGTAATAAAAAAATGCAAGTAGGACTTCAAAATAACAATATTTAAGAATGATTAAGGCGATATTGGTAACCTGCAACATAAAAACCAGGCAATTAACAAAACAACATTTGAAAAAAAGAAAGCACAATGATAACCACCAACAACCCTTTGGGAAACATCTGCGAGCTGAATGTTGTGGAGCAGTTGGAGAAACTCCATCACCAGAAGCCCTGCAGGTAACTGTTCTCCTAATGGCTTTGCAATGGCTGAAAAAAACACTTGACCACATACTGTTTTTTTCCCCTTATAAAAAAAACCCAAAAGGCTCCTCTTATTCCCGTGGCTCATTTTGTGTTTGTTGCTCCGGGAATCTCTCTTCCTCGTCACTGTTTACGCCGTCGAGCTGCGAAGTGTTTGCCAGTGTGGCCTCTGTTAAGTAATGATGAACAGTGTAAGGTCTTGGATATAAAGTTCCATGCATTCCAAATTCCTATTCATTTTTTTTTTTATTCACTATGTACTTCTTTAAAGTCATGGCAAGTTGAGGATTGTCTGGTGAGGATTGAAAAAAAAGAAAATCGGCATTCAAGAAACGCAGAGAGGTGAGGAACCGAGTGAGCGAAAGGTTTCAACAGTTCCAATCTGGAATGTAGATATAAACAAGCCGTGGAAAGAGACGCGTTACGATGTCGTAGTCATTCAACGTGACATTTCCATTAACATCACAGCGGGTGATGAAACGAGGTCTTTAGTACCAGAAAAACCTGCAGTAACCCAGCAAGTTTTCCATTTTGCACACTTTCTTTTCTACTTTGAGAAAAGATAGAAAAGAGGAGAGAGAGAGAGAGAGAGTTATTTCAACCTTGAGCACAGGACTGTGAAATGAAGGATCCTAGCATGCCACCGTGCCTCCTGTGGTAAAGCAGCCGTCATATATAAACAATGACGTCGTCAGCATATAGGAGTAGAATTGCTCCACCCTTTCATTTTTCCCCATTAATGCTGCACTTTTAACTCCAGAGCCACACTTCTTCCTTTGACTCTGCTCGTCTGGGTGGTTCTCCGCTGGTGGCAGCAGAGCTCTCTCTACTGGCGTGGAGGAAGAGCAGCCAAGCAACAACATTTGTTGTCGTTTTTTTAGCCTCCAGTAGCTCTTTTGTTGGTTTGTTGGCCGTAGATGTGTTAGTAGTCCGGTGGAGACAAACTCTTTGGCCGCTGGATGGAGGAGAGTGCTTCTTAAGATGGATGTTCGGCTGGACATGATCTGAGAAGAGAGTTAAATTAGTCAAGACTATTGAACCCAACCCTTTAATATGAGCTCTGTTTGTTTGATGTGTCCATAAAGATATTCGTACACAGATGTCACTCTACCAAAATAGCCACATATAACTGCTGATCACCTCTTTTACGATGACAAGTAATAATATAACAAACCGCTGTCTATCCATACGGGGGTCCACCATGTATTGAATACACAGCTCAGTATATGAACAATGTGTGGATGTACTAAATGGTTACTGACTAGACTTGTGCAACTATTGGCAACACAGGTAACCGCATACACCGTACTATTATAAGTAGGACAGGTTTAAGTTAATAATTTAGTGCTTAGAATCGGATTCTGCCCAATTGTTTTATATTTCAAGCTGCTTATGAGTCATGTAGACAAGTTGTGTTGTTTGGGGTCCCTGTGTGAATGACAGGGACGCACACAGAGGCTCTCCATTAAAACAAAGGTCATTTGCTCTTTAGAGCGGTCATGCAGTAAAAATGCAGTTGGCCACTAGATGGTGGATACGTTTAGGAAATGTACAGTATACAGTCTGTGAAGGGCCTGAGTCATCCGGTTTATTGCAGTCGCTAAAAATGCATTTTTGGCTTCTCTTAGCCAGAAAACACACAAAAAATATGCACAAAATATCTTGAACCTCCTAAAGGTTTTGAAAACTAATTTGCACAAACACCAAAATACATTTAGGGAAACGAAACTGAGATCTGCACACCGTCTTTCTCATTCGTGCATTTGGAGATAAACCTTGTGCACGGGAGCACTTCAGTTCACATTTAGACGCCGCACTCATTAGCACCAAAGCAAAACACCTGTTTCCCCGAGACGCTTTCATCACCTGCGGCCGCTGAGGCCTCCGGGTCTCCACCATGTATTTCAACCTCTTCTTCCAAATGCAAATATTGCGCATAGTTGTTATCGGTTGAGCATTCAGTACTCGAATAAACCCGAAATACCTGCTGGTGGGATCAGGTTTTTCTGATGTTTTTGTGTTGGATTGTGGTATCAAAGTTATATGTGTGTGTGTGTGTGTGTACCTAACATTTGTAAATATTCATAAATGACATACTATCGATTCTTTGCCAATCATGGAATTTGACGTTTGAAGCTTTGGGAGTCTTTAAATCATATTTTAACAGGTTGTCTTTGTTCTCTGAAGTGCTGCTTCCTCGTAGCTCCAGTTTGCGTATTTACTGTGTGCGTTGCGCTGTCTCGCCCACTGTGGCTGAGTCGGATCAACTGCTCCCAACATGTTGTGTGTTTCCAGGCGCCCAGCAGCAGACTTAATCTGTCCCAGTGAACACAGGCCCCCAAAGGGTTGCTACACAACAAACAGGTAGTTGACCCACTTAAGCCGCAACATGGCCTAAAAGACACACAATAGGGACACATGAATCACTTTGGGCAAAGGGCCCCTTTTTTTCTTTTTCAAGTGGCCGCGTATAATTATATTTTAATCACTATTCTATGTTTGGCGAATGCCCTTTCCCTGCTTCATCTTGACTGATTTGGAGGTTAATTTTCTCAGAGCGCCGACCTCTACCCTCATCCAGGGTCACATAAACCGTTGTGGGTGAATCCAGGCGGCCGTGTGTTGAAAGTCTTAAGCGATTCCGCCAACTTATTGACACCCGTCGCTTTGCTATGAAATATTTAACTAGCACAGTTGGGGGGTGTAATGTGCGCAGATACTTTTGACCATTAAGTGTTCCAATAACGCTGTCACAGAATTCAGCTGAGAGACATATTCCTCACAGGGGGGGGGGGGGGGCTGAAAGTAGAAATGGCAAAATCTTTTTAGCGACAGAAACAAGACAGGGCGTGCTGAGAGGAAAAAATGGCGGGGGGAGGGGGGGGGAAAACACAGCAGGCTTAAGTGAGAAAGCCGGAACTAAAAGCAGAGAAAGAAGAAAGACGTTTGACAGCAGTGGGAGGAGAGAGAGTCACACGAGGAAGTTAGTCAGCAACCCGCTGAGTCCGGGCTCGGCGCGTTATCTTCTGCATGGCACACATGCAACACTGTACAAATACAGCAACATCAAGGCCCGCGTATCCCCCCATGATGCATCAAAAGCTTCAAAGCCCACTGCACCAAGGCAAAAGATTGTCCTTCTAATTGGAAAGAAAACATAGCATTTTCCTATTGGCGCTTCTATTTTCACTGCAGCAGCTTACGTAAAACACATCAGCACGCTGTATCAGAGCACAGGAAATCTGCGTCCCTTAATGCTCAGAGCTGCCTCATAAAAACTGACGTACTTGAAATACTTTCATTGGTTTTTATCATTAAATGCATCTTTAACTATGCTTTGCTCCTAACAAGTCAAACTGTAGCTGTAGATGCTTTAAGGCTCTTTTGTATCTGCTACTAAATGCTCATCAATATGTTTTGTATTTGCTTTTGCAGGTGTACGCTGAATGTATCTGCAAAACATTCATTGTCAACATTTAGTTCTGCTCCTGGCAATATTACATGATTACCAATTAAATTTCACCAAGATTGTGAACTGAAGTTGCCATTGACTGTAATCACATAAGGAAATGACAAATGTGCAGTGAGATGGAAATGATACATGTGATGAACTGAGTTTCTACTTTTGAACCTTTTTATTCCACAATTTTGTCAATTCGTGGCAGACATCAAGGGTTTAAAAGCCATTTAAGTGAATAGCATTTGAAAAAGGCAAGAATCAAGCACAGCTCGGCATGAAGCAAGTCTAAGAGGTTTTCTAAAAAGCATTAGAATATACGATGTATTTTCGTTTTGTATTATATCATATTCATATTTAGGTGGTGAGGTCTTAAGGCATCCGTCACACCTGAGCACTAATTCAGACTTCTGTGAAGATTAAAAAAAAAAAAAATATATATATATATATATATATACCTTGAACATTTTTGGATTAAAAAACACCAATGTGCAACAACATCACAGTCAGAACAGAAGGGAAACAAATCCAGATGTCTGAGAGACATCTCAATTTCTCCGGCTAAGCGTCTCACATTTACAGGTGATTAAAGACATTCGGGTCATTTTTTGCTTTGATCCCGTGGTTCATGAAGACGTAGGAAATGTAGGAAAATGAGCTACATGTCGGATTCTAATCCTCTCGGTTTAATATTTCATTGTCAATTTGCTCTAATGAGGTTCAATCAGATGGCGGTTCATGAATCAAGGGCCTGCTCTTGGAACAAGCAGGACTTTTGCTGATGTATTTCTGGCCAGGCTGACTGCAGGCTTCCAAACTGACAGAAGCCAGATGCCAGTGATTTTCAGGAGCACAACACAACAGCTGCAAAAACACAAAAGCTGCGACAAATCGCTCTTCAGGGTGAGCTGGAGGAACACAGCGCGGCGGCTTGTCTCATGACAAGAGTTATGGAGATATGGGGACCGAGAATTACAGATGTACAAATGTCCCACAGTCAAAGTGATAAGTACATTAAAACTGCTTGTGTGCTTTAAGTACAAGATTTATCTTAAGTGTTAGATTAATGTTTTCAATTCTTTCTTCTGCAGTTTTCTTATAAACAATGTGTGTGTGTATATAGTATATAATATATTATATCTGTGTAACGAGTGGCAATAAATGGCTCCTGTCATTAAAACTGTCATGTGATCCAGGTCTCTCTCTCAGATATTTTGAGCCCTTTATGTTCTGCAGACGTTACATGAGGCAAGAACCCACAGTTTTGGGGCATTAAATGCAAAAAACGGACATAAAACATTAAAAGAAGGAATAAAAACATTATATGAGATGAATGCAAGAGTATGCTATGTACTTCATTTTTTCTTATTTCTTTATTTTATTATTTGATAAAAAACAATCAATTGATTGTATTGGACTATTACCTCATCTCGTAAAGCCAATTCCGGAAAGATATTCAAGTAATGCACTAAAATAAACGTTACGCTGTTGAAGTTGCGTGATATGTTGCTGCAAAGTGCTGTCGCATTAGTATTTCTACCATTTCAACCATTGCCAACTCAAGACCAGTACAGACGCACCAGGTCTTCCACTAACGTAACCCATTATTATATGCAGCATTTGGACGATTGTGACTTTAGGTGTCCGATTAAAGGAAGACACTGTGTGGTTTCGAGCAGCTATTGATGGGGTTACTTAGTTAAAGTAACTTACTGTGATATGAAGAACCCAGAGGACTCCAGTTCTGGTTGGCTGCAAGAGGGAGACGGCAACATTTCAGACAATACCTTTTTCTTAACATTTCTGCATTGAAATCCATGGATATTACTACCAATATAAACAAGACAGGACCTTCCAACATCTGATGAAAGTTGATGACAAAACAAGTATGATACAACATACATTGAACATGCCAGTTTTCCATTTACTGTACACCTTTTCTTGTTATGTGTGAGTAACGCTTACAATTATTTCAAATTGGAGTTAAAGTAGTTTCAGCGTTCATGTCAAGAGCTGAGTTGTAACAACAATATGGAAATGGAAAATATTAATTTTTCTGAAACCTGATACGTTCTCATTTGAAGTTGTGTTGAAACGCGGATGCTTCGTGTCGGCTACAGACAGTTGTTCATGGGATAAGAAAACCTCAATGGGAACAGTCAAATGACCATGATCGTGCCAATATGCTGTTCAAGTACATTCAGGTCTCAAAAGGTTCTGTTTAAACGTGGACGTCCAGCACAGCAGCAGCTGATGCGTATTGTCAGCTCGCCTGGTTGGTGGTGAGGTAATTAGTGAAGGCGGCTGGTGAGTAAAAAGTTGCAGTCGCTGCATGTTAGATGACAAGTACTCACCAGTTTGCTCATCTCTCCGCTCTGTTACTCTCTCGCTCGCTCGCTCTCTTCTCTCTCTGTGTTAGTAAAACAAAAGCTGGAGGGGAACTTCACAGGTTTTTCTGGTACGGGGCCTCGTGATTTGGTCATTTAACATTTACATCGTCCTGCAAATACATGGAGGCATTCAGTCAGTTTATTTGATTTGTATATTTTGAAATCCATGTTCGATAAAACTGTGTCGTTGCGCAGCTTCAAAACTACAGCCTGTACTGTTCCTTATACTCCGTTCTGAAGTAAATCTAAACCCATTGCAACCAACTCAAGGGTACGAGTGTGTACACAGCACATGCTACACACCCGCATGCTGTGAAAACACACATCCTGTTTGGAATGAGTTGTCATTCTTTATGTTCTTATTTTCACCCTGTGCACACAGAGAAGATAGGCGACCAAAAATAAGAATTACACTCAGACAAAGACACTCTGCTTTAGCAACACATTCTCTGCAGCCAAAAGAGTCCAAACACTCCGCGCTGTAACGCAGACTTTTAACCAGCAGCATCTCAGAGAGTTACTTTTATACCTAATGTTGCACTTTTTTAATAGATAAAAAGTGTCATCATTGACTAAGACTACCGCCGCACACTTAAATGTCTCTGCCAATCAGTCATGTTGCAATTTATATTCATGTCCATCCAAAATGTCCAGTTAATCATTTTACTCCATTAGGCATTTGTCTGAAATTGGATCCTTGAGAAATGGCCAGAAAGGTCAATGTGACCTTTTACCACCAAAATCGAATCGCTCCGTTTGGAGTCCAAGTTGACATTTGTGTCAAATTTGAGAAGATTTCCTCCATGTGTTCTTATGACATTCACAATCATAAAAGGTAGGTCTGTATAGAAGACCTGTTATGTTCATAAATAGTGAACAGTCTTAAACTCAGGTGAAAAAAACAAGAATATAAATTAATAAGAGTTGCATTGCAAATATCTCCTTTTTTAAAGTTTGAGGGAAGCTGTTTTGGATGTAAGAACCTCGGCTACAAGCTTCACCACAAAGCAAAAGCCACATTTGATATTAAATAAGCTTCCAGTTTCCATGTGTTTTTTCAGTCTTATATAAACGATCCATCTTCTGCAACTCTGACTTTGCACATGACTTCCTGGATACAGAAGAGAAAGAACAGCGGAAAATAAGTACCTCAATTGTAGCACTTCAGAATAAGGAGGTGAACTTCTTGCCAAAACCGCTTATAGCTGTAGGAAAGTGAAAAAGAAATAGAGATTAAATAGATTCTGACGCAGGGGTGACATCGGAGGGACTTACTATTAAACTTGGATGCGTCATGACAAGATAAACTGATTCATTTGCCTTCCTAATGGAAAGGCATTCACAGTACACTGAAGGATGGCAGCATAACATTTTTCTCTGGTTAATGATCAAGTTGAAAGCAGTAATAGTTTTTTGTCTCCTTGAAGTCTTCCTTTAGCTCTGTATTCATTTTGTGTCCTTTTGTGGATTCATGCTTTGTCTCATTACTTGTTTTGTGTTGTCTTGTTTGTCTCTTTAAAGTCATATTTTATGGTTGTTTTGTGGTAGTTTATCACCTTCCAATCCTGTTCTGTCTCTTAATTAATAATAATTGTTTTGTCCCTCTTTGAGGCCATTTGGGGTCTTTTTGTCCCTTTTAAAGAGTAACCGTCTAGTTTCCTCACTCATTACTGTCTACCGGGTGATGCTCAACCATATTAAATGATGCCGTTTTCACCTGACTGACGTATTCCTATCATGCTTCTAATTAGCTTAGCTGCAGTGTACGTACCGTCTCCTAGTTTGCCCGCCTGCTCAGCGGCATTTCCAGGGATGAGCTTGGACAACATGCTGTCTCCCTCCATGCCGGGCTGTCCTGCTGCCGCGCTGCCAATGCCTCCTGGTCGAGGAGCTGCCTTGGAGCCTGCAAACAGAGCCATGAGGAGAGGAGAGAGGAATGAGGAAAGGAAAAGACGGAAAGGAAACACGTCAAGTTGAGTTGTCGGTATCTGTGCAGGTCAAATATCTGACAAGGTTGTTTTGTATTTCTATTTCTATAAATAGATGTGCTTTTATGACCTCTGGTCATTATATAAAATAAAACAAAGAGTGGGTCTCAACCCACAACCCATGAATTCGTGCACAAGTGTTTTTGTTAACAAAAATGATTGAACTAATTCATTAACCATCACAATTGTTGCCAATTATCTCTTGACCAAATCTGTTCATGGTCACTTGTGGGATTGAGATCCATACATTTCCCTCCCACTCAACATAAAAGAAAAAACTACCTCCTGCATCAGCATTGAATCTTTGTCTTTATTTCTAAGACAAAGATTCAAAAGTCTCCTCCAGACATTTCCAAGAGACAACCTACCGGTTGGAGAAATTAACTGAATGACTTACCACCGAATGAATTAAGTGACCAAGTCATTATGTAATGTCTTAACACACTCTGATCTTCTGCCAAGAAGTGAAACCCCTCCACTGGGATTATCTGCAGATTAATCTCAGATAGATGAGCCGGCACACACTGGTTACGTAATAAAGACGCAGTGGGCAGCAGCTGGTGAGAGTGCCGGGAGTCTCTTTGTGCAAATGATTGTACTGTACCTATGCCTGTGAGTGGGGGCTGGGCAGCTTTGGTGGCCATGACCGGCGCGGCCTTTGCTCCAATAGCCGTCACTGGAGGCATGTCCATTTTAGCCTGCAGAGAAAGAGAGTGTGAGAAGATTGAACAGCAGGCGCAACTCAATGCTCTGCGTTCACCAAAGCAAACATCTCAGCGCCGTACACACCTCTGACATGTTTAGATTTTAGGGGCTAAGGAAAGAGAGGAAAATGTAAGAGGTTGAGAGACTGACAGGAGGTGACAGAGGAAGCTGCTCCCCTTTTGTGTTGTGACTAAACACACCAAATGACATGAACGAGGAAGTCAACACAGTCAACTTCGCACCTTTTCAAAATGTTATGATGGCTTCTTGTTAAGGCAAAGGATATCATAAAATAAAAGCAATTTGGGAAGCAAAGAAAATTATCATTGTAATTATTTTTCTGCTGTTGTAAATGTCACTTTCACTCAGAAATGACTGATAAAATGGACAAAATGATATGCGGATGTCTCCCTGAAAAAAAAACCCCTTCTTTACTCGATTCTGGCATTTGATGACAGATTATCTGTTGTTTTTAATCGATTATATTAACACATTCATTTTTTTTTCTGTCCGTAATTACGGATGACTTTTAACTGCTCTTACACATTTGTTTTTATACTGGAAACATGAATAAATATTGTTTGACTTTGGTAAATCCAAACAGTGCCATCCGACAGTAAGATTGTTGGACAAAAATATCGTAAATATAGCTGAAGATGTTCCCCATTTTCATGAGTCTTTTCGTAAATTGTGATGAATCTGTTGCTACAAGCGGTTTGAAAGCTTTTCCATCGCCTCTGCCCTCGACATTTAAGGACTAAACTGCAGAGAATAGCTTCAGGAAGGAGAAGACCAGACCTTCACTGATCCATCGCTACTCTAATCACAGGAAACGTGGCCCGGTGTTTATGTTCTTACTTTGCATCGTCTGGTTTCTGTAAAGCACTTTCTGCCACTCACACTTAATAAACTTTCAGTAAATATACTTCGACTGCTGCAGTTCAGCTGCATCGAAGGTGGTGCATCTTTATGCACTGTGCAGCTTACAGTATTTCATTTACAGCCACTTCCTAAATGCATTTAATTACACAATGGACCTACATGCCACTGTTAGTGTATGAGTTTGCAGACTGAAAAATAACCAAATGAACGTTTACAGTTAATGCCCCCCAGTCAGATCTATACAACGATGGAGCTTTCTGAATCATTTCCATGATTAATCCTGCATAGTTTGATTTTAGACCGTATGAATTATTTGACTTTGCTTTCCCACTGACAGTGCAACATTCCAGCAATATGAACATTAAAAACGTTTTCAGCTGTGAAAACCATTGTTGATAATTATAGTTAATGATGACGGGGACTTTACTTTAACTTCCAACTTATTCATGTATTTACAAGAAAAAAATGAATTCAGCAAGAGTACTGAATCTTCATGTTAAACCTCATAATTTGGAAACTCCAATTGCTAATACATTTAGGATTTATCCTAATGGAGTAAACGCAGGGTGCAATCATACATTTTCAGTGCCAGTTTCTTGAACATCTAGCAGACAGTGAGATCAGCTGCGTGTATTTATCAGTTTCCTCTGTGTTAATCACAGTGTTGGATAAGGTCTGCCAACACAGTCACAGCAGAATTTGAATTAACCATCTGAAATGGGAGGAGATGGACGGGCTCTTATCTGCGGGAGCATGGAGGGTTCAGACTCAGAAGAAACTCGGAAGAGGTCAAGGGAAATGAAATGAAAGAAAGAAATGTGTGATAGGAGAGACGAGAAGGATGAGACCTGGAGGGATGAATGACTAGAAAAAGGATGAATTGGCAAGCAGTTGGTTGTTAGAAACCGTTAAATCAGAAATAGGAGGATGGATTTAGAGTGAGGGACAACATCATGATTAAAGTTGTTTGTCATAATCATGAAACATTTCTTTTGTGACCCGAGGAAAGAAGCCGGCTATGTCGGGATCACAGTAGTATCACAAGTAATATTTACAAAAAGCGTAATTACTTCAAAAGAACTAACGCTGCAACGCTTGTTCACATCCTTATTTTCTATTTATCTTCTTTCTTTGTCCTTACCATGTTGGCTGGAGTGGTTCCTGCAGGACCTGTCTGCCTGGCCTGACCCATGGGTCCACCCGCTGGACCCATCTGTCCTGGCTTGGCTTGGCCTTGCCCCATGCCCATGCCCTGTCCCTGGGCTGAGGGCTGCTGCTGAGGGCCGGTGGTCATTGCGGCACCAGGCTGCCCTGACCTGGCCGCTGACGTCTGGGCTTGTTGTTGGAGCTGGGTCCTCTGTCCTTGCGCTCCGTCGGTCTGGGAACCTGGACCACTCTGTCGCCCCGATCCTGTAGGCCCTCCAGCGGGGCCCTGAGCCCGGCCGGAGCTGCCGGACCTGGAGGAGCCTTGGATGGAAGAAGTAGGTGAAATGTATTTTAAATGAAATTGTTCTGCTCATCGTTCAAAAATCGTGTAACTTTACGTCATCTTTTTCTCTGCTTATGTGAGCAGTTTCTAAATAGAAAACCAGATTATTTGTGCATTTGAGAAACGGTATTTATTTTACAGTGAGCTTTTCTTATCATATTTATGGATAAAATGTATCCCTTTGTATACAGAAGCAAATTTACAAGTAAGGCAGCAGTGAAAGTTAATGAAATGCAACAAATAGTTGTGGGCAAAGATCAAACCAGTGGTTTAACGAGTGCACGGCTAAAAACAGTCCCAGTTCTGCCCAGGGACACAACCTTTCTTTTGAAAGTTCCTTTTGATATATTTAATCAAATATTGTTTATCCCCGAGGGACCGTAGCTTGTAAAAGTCAGGCTGAATAACCACGCGTATTAAATGTGTTTCCGTCAGCTCTGAACAAGAAATTCTCAGGGATCCTCAGCTTATTATTAATCTAGTATTAGTTTGAGCGTCAACAATGATTTATGAAACTTGGATGTGTGAAAGTTTTCTTCTCATTTAGTCTTTGTGGTTATATGTTCCAAGACGACTCAACAGCGTGTGCAGCTTACTGATCAAAAACACTCTAAATCAAAATAAATATACGCCATTTTTAAACTTTCTGAGGACTCTTGCATGTTCCCCCTTATCTGAAATAACACCTAACTACACTAACATTTTTCTTCCATGAAATGGGGAGCACCCTGTGGCTCTGTTTTAATGCCCCTTTGCTTTTCTCCTTATATTATATTTTCTCTCCACTCCCCTCAGTGCCTCATTCCAGATGTCTGGGATCTGGGTCTTGTCCTTGTCTCTCTTCCTTTATGTTTTTGTTTCCCTTTGTGGTATAAGTGTACTGGTGTGCCTCCTGTGCAGTTATGTAGTCTTTCCCCTTTTCAGGTCTCCATGTAGAGTTGTCCTGCATATACGCTATGCATCTAAATTGTGTTGTACTGAATGTACATTTTGTACTACTGAGGAGCATCGTAAACTAATCCAACTAGCAACGTGGTTAAGGCCAGGTACTGATCTTGAATCTTTAAGGTTAGGGAAGGTCATTGGAAAACAATCACAAGTGTTTTCACAGGGTTCAGGATAACTATTTAGGATAAGGAGGGAAAGGTCTCTTCCTTTTTTTTTTTGTTGAGTGGGTTTTTCTGGGCGGCACGGTGGCGTGGTGGTTAGCACTGTCGCCTCACAGCAAGAAGGTCCTGGGTTCGATTCCGCCCAGTGGCCTTTCTGTGTGGAGTCTGCATGTTCTCCCCGTGTCTGCGTGGGTTCTCTCCGGGTTCTCCGGCTTCCTCCCACAGTCCAAAGACATGCTCGGGGGATCAGGTTAATTGGGGACTTTAAATTGCCCGTAGTTGTGTGAATGTGAGTGTGATTGGTTGTGTGTCTCTGTGTTGCCTGCGATTGGCTGGCGACCAATCCAGGGTGTACCCTGTCTATCGCCCGAAGTTGGCTGGGATGGACTCCAGCCCCCCCGCGACCCTGTGTGCAGGATAAGCGGTTTGACAATGGATGGATGGATGGTGGGTTTTTCTTCATCTTAAGGTTTAAGGACAGTTTGTGCCAATATGTTTTACTGATGTTTGGCTGTATACATAATATTGAATTGAATTAACTTAAATGCTAACTGGAAGTATCTGCTTCTTCACAGACTTATCATTTGTTTAAATGAAGATTTCAGTACCACTGCTCATTATGGAAAGGCGCCAGACCACTTATACTGGCTAGATTATAAATGAGGTCTAACATTATTTTAGTCAGAAACTTGTTGATTTAGAACAAAACAACTTTTGAAAGGTCTTTTTATTACGTCTTAAATATTACACATGGAACACCCATTTTTATCAGTATTTCTTAACAGTTAGGGAGATTATGCAAAATCACTTGAAGATTGTATTAATCAGTTAGCATTCAGTTTGTCGTATTATCAATAGGCAGTTGGTTTTGCAGCATTTTCTTGTTTTTCTGTCAAATATTTTGACATATAATGGCTAAAAAAGGTCCAGACATATTGGTTAACTTCTACTTTGAAACTAAAAATGTAATATCATTACTCCTGGTATCTTATATGACGTGTAAAGATGCACCGTGTTTACCAGGTGGTTGGCCTTGCATGTCCACTTGCTGCTGTGACTTGCTACGCGAGGAACGGTGTGGGTCCCCCTGTCTGGAGGAGCGCTGTCCGTGATGGTGCCCAGACGGATCCCGGGAGTAGTCCGAAGTGTGGTACCCTCCAGACCTAGACTCACCACGCCTCCCTGTAGATGAGGATCGCGCTGAAGGGTCTTGGCGCATCGATGGGTCTTTGGGGTGCCCCTTGGCGGACCTCGAGGACCTCTGCTCATCTGAATGACGTGATGCGGATGAGTGACGGCCAGAGCTGCTTTGGTGCCTGTGGTCGCGGGATGTAGAGTGCCGCCCTCCGTGGCCGTACTCATCCTGGGGCCACAGGTCCTCCTCAGGAGGCTCGTCATAATCATGGTAGGTATGTTTCACACCATGCCGGCTCCTTCCAGATGAGTGGCTGCTGCCGTAGTGTCGAGAACTGGAGCGGGGCTTCTCAAACCAGTCGGTTTCTTCTTGGCCCAGATGGTAGGCTTTGGAAACCGAGAGCAGATCACAGTCAATCTCCATGTCGTTTGGAGACAGCGGCATGCAGGCTGAGAAGGAAGGAGACAGGAAGAAGAAGACCAACCACATGCAAAAGAAAAGAATGGGACGGAGAAGACACAGAAAGAAAGGCAGAAAATAAAAATAAAGGTTTTCCATCCATGCAGTTTACACTTTGGCTACAGTTGGCTTACAGTTGGCTACACAAGTTACAAGACAATATAAACAGGATAAACCAAACACTGCAAAAATGTCCATTAAGCCAGCTGTTGGTTTTCATCATAACTTTCCCGTTTGTAAAATTGAAAATAACTTTTACAGCAATAAAAATCTTGATCCTTATGCGAAGGACTATGGGTGAATTGTTACAACGAGACAATTATACTGGCCCTCTGTGAAGAACGGTTTGAATATGAAAGATGGTGTAATGGACTTTTTGCAGTGTAGATTCCACGAGTCAAAACACAGAAAAAACAACAATGACAGAACAATAAATAAACCCTGTAAAGAAAAACAGTGCATCTGTGTCGTGCAAAGAAGACCTTTCAATTGAATCAGAGTGTAGCGAACGGAGAAAACCACCACGCCGAAGAACCATGCGAGTATTGGACAGACAGACGACTGACAGGCGGCGATAGGACGGACAGGCAGGCAGACAGACAGACAGCAGTCCACTGCTAAGAGAGCTCCAAGTGACTCTCGGGAAGAAGGAAACATCCGCATGCAACGGCTATCTGTCTTTCATTTTCTTTCTCTTTGCTAAGCCTAGATTCTGGGTGGGTGGGGGACGTTTAGATAAACGGTGGGGGCAGTAGTAGGTAGTGAGACTGTGTGGGCGTTCAGCCCACAATTACCTTCACTGTCTGACACAGCACAATGATAATCGTCAATAATGTATGTATCATCCGATTTGTAGACATGTGTCCTGGGAAGGTCTTGTATGTGGTCTTGTACATCTGGCAACGAGTGGCTGGAACCATACTGGCCATAATAGTAATGATATCTACCGCTACGGCTGTCGTACGGGTCGGGACCTAAGCTTGATGATCGCCCCGAACCCATGAACCTCCTCAAGGGGCTAAGTGGGCTCTCCTCTTCAGAGTACTGCCGGGTTGGATTGCGCCCTCGGCTGTAGCCAGATCGGTAGGAGCGGTCGTCCCTCTCATAGGATCGGCTGCGATACCCAGAGTAGTCTCTGGCTGAGATCTTGTCCATGCCGTAGCCGGTGGAACGGGAGCGGCCGGTGGAGTTGTAGTAAATCCGATCGTCCTCCTCCACCGTTGAACCATAGTGTCGACTACCATGAGTGCTGCCACTGCCGCCCTCGTAGGTATTGCTTTTAAAGCCGTAATCCTCGATCAGCTGGCGCCCTCGAATGTGAGAGGAAGGGTAAGCCCCACCTGTTGTTGAGGAATAGGAGGCCAGGTCTGCCTCTACATCCCGAGCCTCCTCAATGGGGGAAAACTTGGAGATTTTTTGCTCCATACTCCCCAGTTTCCTGTGCTTGTTGCGCTTGGAGGACATGACAGCAGGAGCCAGAAGACTTCTGGTGGATGACATAGGTTTCTGTACCCCGGAGCGGATGCTGCCGTGTTTGTAGTCGTAGTCAGAGTGATAGGAGGATCCCCCACCCATGCTAGAGCTCACGCTGCTGCTGCTGCCCCCTAGAGGTCCGTGCCTGTAGCTGCTCTTACCCCTGCCGTGGTGGTCGTACAGCTCTTCCTGCATCGCTGCTTCCTCTTCAGGTGCCCTGCCGTAGGAGTTGCCAGTTCCCCCACGTGTAGAACTGCCAACCGTGGTGATGTGGCCGTGGATGTCGCCTGGGTAACGCCCACTGCCGCCATGATGCATCATGTCCCCTGTCGTCGTGCCCAGCCCGTCTTTTGCCGTAAGCTCGCTTACGTCGTCAATCATCATGTAGTTTCTTGGAATGTTCTGCTCTAACCCAGGAGCCCCATACATCCCATCTGAAGAACTGTATATGGAGGGACTGTCTACAGAGTGCCCATAGACATTGGAGACTGTAGAAGTGTACTGTCCATACGAGCTGGCTGTGGTAGTGGTATAGCCATAAGTATTAGCAGTGGTTGTGGTGTACTGGCCATATGAATTAGCTGAAGATGAAGTATACTGGCCATAAGTGCTGGGTGGCATGGTAGAGTACCCACCGTAGCTGCTGGACACTGGTGCTGACCCATATGGTCCATAGGAGCTGGCCATTGTTGTCATTCCAGTGTACTGACCATAAGAGGGGGCTGCACTGGAATAGTTACAGTCCTGGGCAGTGGTGGTGACCACAACTGTGGGGTTGCTGATCGTCTCGTAGTTGGTGGGCATCTTGTGCTCCAGATCGGCCAGAGAAGTCTGTCTTGGTCGTCCCTGGTGGACCGTCAGGATATCAGCTTGGGGCTGCCCAGGGTATGGGGTAGTCTGGCCGGGGTAGGAGGACACAGCGCTGGGATAGGGTGAGCTGTGGGTGGGGTATGGGGGCTGACCAGGTGGTGCGGGTCCAAAACCTGTATGCACTGGTTGAGGCTGAGGCTGAGGCTGAGGTGCAGCTGGTAAACCAATGTCTGTCTGCGGGTAGGGGGGGCCAGTTTGGGGATAGGTGTGGGAGGGGTAGGATGTTTGAGACGGGTAAGAAGGTCCAAGTGGTGGGACATGGCTTTGGAGGGGCGTGGGCTGTGGCACTGCCTGGGACTGGGACACTGAGGGATAGGGAGGTTGATTGAATGTTGAAGCCTGGTACGGCACATTGGATTGCGGCATTGGTGCTGCTTGTTGGCTTTGGGGGTACTGACATGAGATGAAGGATGAGGAGGGTGGGTACTGGGCTGCTGTGTTTAGGTCGCTGGCAAAATGACTCAAAGGGGCAGTGCTTGGCCTTGTTGACAGTAGCCCATTGGTCTCATGTGATGCAGCTGCAGCTGCTAAACGTAGATTATTCAACTCACTGTCAGACATGTAGTCCCTAGTGTCCCCCATACACCTCAGGTAGGCAATATCCCTCCTTTCCCTCTCCTTGACCAGTGTCTCTTTCCTCTGGTGGATCCCTAGCTCTAGGTATCTCAGTTTAGCATCAATTTCTTTTTCTTCCTCCTCCAGTTCAGCCTGCTGCTTTCTCAGCTTGGTTGACTCTTGCTCCACGGCCTTCAGTTCGTGGGTGAGGTCTTTGAGGAGGCTGGCTTTGGCAGCCAAGCCAGACCTCGAGCTGGGCTTGAGGCTGGGCACGGAGGGCAGGTAAACTTGTTGAAGGGAAGGTGCCATCATAGGCAGATGTGCTGATGTGGTATTCTCGTCTGGAGGAGGGCTGGGCAGGGTTCGCTTGACCTTGCGGAGCAGTGAGCTTTGCTGTAGAGCTGCCAGCTGGAGAGAGAGAGACAGAGAGAGAGAGAGAGAGAGAGAGGTTGGGAGGATGGAAGAGCAGGAGAATATGAAAAGACAAAGAAGCATGCAAAGCAAGATATGGGCGAGATAAGATAGAAGACCAGGGGAGTATGGAAAACAATAAATGTGATTCGGTCCAATGGAGCATAATTGGACAATTGTAAAAAGAGTGTGAGATGAAAAGAGACATGGGATGGTGTCAGAAAATAGTTGCAGGTAACACACAAAGGGAAGAGAGGAAGGTGGTAGAGGTATTGAGCGATGTGGAAGACAGGTAAGGTGAAAGAGAAAATGAAATGAGAAAAAAAGAAAGAAAGGTGTAGTTGGTAGAGGATAGATGGTCGAAGTACATCCACGGAGAGGGATTATATTGGGAGGAGAACGTGGTGGAAGGACAGACGTTGTGCACAACAGACACATAGACCAGGAGGAAGAAGAGGGGGGAAAAACTCAAAAAAGATAAAATGGACATAAGAAACAACAAGAGGACGCACAAATATGGATACACAGGGAAGACAAAAGAGACAAATATAGACAGAAAGACAAAGACAGGGAACAAGAGTGCCGTTTGTATTAGCAGACATACAAAACGTAAAAATTAGTGCAAATGATAGTGTAGTATTTCGATTAAGCGAACGGATCTACTGAAAACAATTCAAATAATTTGGAAACACTGTGCTGTAATGTGTGATTTCAAAGGTATGGGGATGTCAAGCAATAACCAAACCAATTCTCTCCTGGAAAGACCATGTGTGGCATTTGATTTGATATGGAAGCTTAGCTAAAGAAAATTGGAAATGAATTGTATTGTAATGATCAAGGATTAATTCATTTCAGTTTTGGAATATATAACATTATTATATTCGTATATGGCCAATATATTGCCTTGCACAGTTAGTATGGATCTAAACCCGTGAGGGATGTTACCAATTTATGCTGCTCGGGAAACAAAATATGGTTCTTATTATAGTCCTACCACTTAGCTAGGTAGAAATAATAAAGCAACTATTAAAAATTCTAGATTATTACAAACTTAATAATAATAATATTCGATGAGGCTCAACATTGGGGGAACAGAAAATTGCTGTAGTCAATTCAGGCCCATCCCAAAGCAATGTGTTCTTTTTAAATGTTATCTTGCCGTACGCTTAAAAACAACTAATGATGTGTGCAACCCTCCTGAATAATGGGAGGATATTTTTTTGTCTGTTGATTGAAATCCAATCCCTGCTACGTCTTACATCAACACTGGAGTCTTCCCATAACATTCCATAATAAAAAACAAACAAGGATCTTTGGAAATAGACATCTTTGATTCAGCTTCAGAGCAACTTCATTTTTTTTTACGTCTAGAGATGATGTTTAGCATCTCTATCACTCAACATTACGACTTTGTTTGTTGCAGCTCTGACTGGAACAAACACTCCTTGTGTCATAATACAAGCATCCAAGTATTACCACATCCAAATTACTGTTGAACAGAGATATTAAATGGCAGGCACTCGAATGGCGTTCTACCGGCACTGCCTTGGTTCAATCAACCTATTTAGTATGTATAATGTCTTTTTAGTACATCTCAGTTCACAGTTAGACTGAAAAGGTCCTTTTTAACTTGACATTTTTCTGCATTAAGTTTGACCACTGAATGGCAGTCTGTTTTATGAGGAACAAACAAACATAAAATAATTTTACTGTTTCTATTAGAAAACATAACCATCGTCTATCTTCTCTAGACTCCACGGAATTGATTTGAATTGGTTGGTCTTTAATTCTCAATATCTCTATGATTGCTTGCTAATGCCTGTGTCGGCATGGTTTGATTGACTTTACCTGGCTCTGGAGCACTTGTTGTTGGTAGAGGGACAGCCTAGCCCTGGTGTGCTCATCTGTGGTGGGACTGAGGGACTTGGGGTCTGACATGGACCTCTGGGTGCTCTTAATTGGCCGGGGAACGGAAGGGTGTCTCTGGGGAGACTCTGCTGTGTAGGACTTCTGCTGAGGTGTGACATGGGCTTTGTTCAGCCTCTCACTGGACAGAGAATTCTCTAGTAGGCGGTGAGGGGACACCGGGGAGACAGGAGAGTAGAGGACCTGTGGGGATTTGGGGGCTGTCTGATGCTGCCGGATGATGGTGGAGAGGGACTCGTTGTGGAGGTGGTTGTGAGGCTGGTAGTTGATGTCGAGCGGATCGGGGCGGCGGCGCTCAAACTTGGCTGCGTTTGCTGCGATGTGCTGCTGCTGGCGTTGCTGGTTCAGAAGGTCGGAAGAACCGGATTGTTGCGTTCCAGTACTGGTAGAGGACGAATATGGACTGACCGTGGTTGGTACACTGAGCTGGGGAGCTACAACACCTTGTGACTGTGCTTCTGTGTCGGTCTGGCATGCTAGAGACTGTCCTTTTTGGGTCCGCTCAGGTCCGGAAATGTAGTGCACAATTTCTACTTTATTTGGGTCTGGTACTGTCACGTGGATCGCTGGGGAGACTCTTCCTAAGTGCTCCACTTCCGTCTGGCAAGACATTTCCCTGATGGTCTGGATGGCGATACTAGAGGATACCATCTTGGGAGTTTCGGTCTTGCTGTCAGAGGCCGTGGTGGATGTAGCAGCAGTGCTGCTGCCAGTTGCACTGGACTCAGCGTGCCGGGAGAAACGGGAACGTCTTCGCCGGACTGGATGTTCAGTCTCAGCCTTGTCCTCGTCGTCATCTGTCTGAACTGAGCAGTCAACACTACGACCACGCCTCCTGGTACGATGACGCATCATGTACCTGTGGATGGGGAGAAGAGAGGGAAAACAACAAGGAAAGACAACGATGTAATATCCTGTCTTATATGTAAAAAAGACAAAGCAAAAATGTTCTGCATTATAAAGTGGTCATTTAGAGTTTGAACATTTAACCATTTTTGTATTATCTTTTTGTGTTGCATAAAGCCCTATGCCTTTGAAACGGGACATATTTATTCTCTATGAAAATATCTAGAAATTATTCATAAAGCCTTGAGTTTAATCTCTGCAGGTGAAATAAACAGGAAGACAATCACAGTAATCCTTGCATAATTCACGTAAACACAAACTAGTTATCTCTCTTTGTGATAAACACCCACACCCACCTACCCCTACTAAACAGACTTATCTATGTACATGTCCACTCACTCATTTCACACACACACACATTCATCGCTACCTCTCCTCTCCGTCTTCATCATCTGTCTGCACAGAGCTGTCGACGATCCTGCGGGGAGAACCGTAAAACACCACGCCGTCTCCATCTAAGCTGTCCCGGCTCAGTCTGGTCATGGAGCTGTGTTTCCTCATGTTGCTCCTGGTCTCCACGTGCTCCTGCTGGCTCCTCAGACACATCTCTGATGAGGAGTTGGGCAGAGAGCGGAAGCCAAGTTGAGAGTCGACGTAAGGGGGCAGGGGCTGTCCATTTGCGTCAAGCTGAAAAACAAATTGAATATTTTAAGGTTGTTAGTTGCCACGCATCATTGATTCAATTGAGACTAAAAAATGTTTTGCATATTACACTTTGTGTTACAATCATAGAGGTCCAGTAAAGACACATATGCAAACATTACCAGTTGTAGATTGAACCGGACTTGGATTTTGTCCTCTCCATGTCCTACAATATTCTAGCACTGCTGCCTAAGAGCCGATCCATTCCCCACATATACGTTGTCACATCTCTTATTTGCTTCTGCCAGTGTTCCTCGGCCCTCTCACCTGTATGTTCTGAGCTGCAGCCGTTTTCTGTCTCTTCTGCTCCACTAGCTGCTGCTGGAGCTGATGCTGTAGAGACTGGATCTGGTCCAGCTGCGACTTCTGCTGCGCTAACTGCTCCCTCTGGAGAACAAGTTGCTTCTCACGTTCAAGCTGCTGCTGCTGTAGGACCTAAACATTTTTGGGTGGAAAAGGGAATTGAACGAAGCACCCGTCGGCCGAAAAAAAGAGAGAGAGGACAAGAAAAGCGTGGAGAAATGTAGCACACAAGGAACGTGAGGGTGGAATGATTAAAAAAATGATATGAGAGACAAAAATGAAAAAAATAGAGAAAGACAGAGAGAGAGAGTAAAGGGAATAGAACACAAGGTTTTTGAGTTTTAGAACATCTGCTTGTATTGAAGATGATCAAAGACTCCTTACACTATGTGAAATGGAGTTATTCTTTTGCTGATGGATTAGTTGTAAAAATGGCTCCAAGTTAGTCAAACCCTGATACACAGCAAAACCAAGAATGCAAGCGCAACATAAATGAAGTGCAGCATGAACTGGTCATTGTTGTTGCCAGTCATATAATGGTCATCAGAAAATATGTAATTAATTTTCTTTTTTTGCAGAAATGACAAGCTAGTGCAAATAAGGATTTAGGATTTCTGCTTTCAATGTGGGTTATGAGATGCTATGAGAATGCATATTAAACATTCCATCTCTAGTTCATTCTCCTTAAGTAAGGCATCCAAACCTGTTTAACTGAGTTAACTTGAAAGTTTTTCAACTGCTTGTTCTATCAAAAAAGAAGAAAATTGTCATGTTAGCCTTTTTTCTCAAACACCTGAACAAGGCAATTAAGCGCTGAAAAGTGGTATATTCTAACGTGTACTTGCAACATAATAGGATCCATTTTTTGGGGTGTAAATCAGACCAACAAATGGCACAGTCCGTTTATATCCCATTTACATACTACAGACATGTTCATGCACACTTGCATAAAGAGGAAATACCGAGAGATGTAAAATGTATAGCATGCAGATCAAAACACTACGTTTGTAAAACTGACTGGATGCAAACCTTTCTTTGCATATGAATATCCCATCAATCATAACAGTAAAATAACATTCAACGATGAAAGAATATTAACACCATTTTTATGAGACATTTAATCAATTAAGTCTCACTACCTTCACTTGTAGCATATGAAATTCATACATATACTGGTCTGTAAAAGTTATTTCTTCAATTATTTCATAAATAATTTACTCCATTTTGCAAGTCAATTTAGTGATTGCATATTAAATATACAACATCAAATTAGAAAATATATTTAACCAATAAAAAAAGGATATTAACGCAATAAGATGCACCACAAATAGCAGGACCACAAAACCAACAAAACACAAAACAATATTCATAGCAAAACCAAAAATCACAAAACATCAAACAAGACACCAAACTCTCCATTCGGTCTCCCGTTTCTCCCTCTACCTGATCCTTGATGTTTTGCAGCTCATGTAACTCTCTCTGCACAATCATCTGCTCTTTATCCCTGTGCAGCTTCAGCTCTATCCTTTCTCTTTCTAGCTCCTCCTGCAGGCGCAGTTGCCGGAGTTTCTCGAGCTCCACGCGCTCCCTCTCCATCTGCAGAAGCTGCTCCTGCTGCCGATGCAGTCTTTCTGCCTCGGTTTCACCCTCCTTGTGTACGGCACCTGGTGGGGGGAAAGGGGGAAGACCCCCTGAAATGGGCAAGCCACTAGTGGGAACAGAGGGGCCGACTGGTGGTTGGGTGTAGCTATGAGTGTGTGAAGGAGTTGAGGACAGGTAGGCATGGGCTGCTTGAGGAGGCTGATGTGACTGCTGAGCAGATGCAACTTGTTGCTGTTGTTGTTGTTGACTGTTCAGGTGGGCCTGGGAAAGGTTTATTGGCTGTTGCTGTTGCTCCATTGGTATGGCAATTGTTCCTTGTACCTCAACTAACGAGGATACACTTTTACCGAGGTAAACTGGTTCATCCTGCACAGTCGAACTAGTAGTTGTAATGGAAACCGACATTGGGGCACCTGCTGGGCCAACATTTGTTGCTGCACCACTTGAAGTGGCTGTGGTTGATGATATCTGGAGAAGACCTGGTGCTGGGTAGCGGAGTGGAGCTTGCACAGTTAAGGGTACTCTTGGGCTCATTGGTAGTCTGCTCAGACTAGTTAAGGGTACAGGTGTCATGTTTGCAGAAGGGTATGGCCTGTAGACCCCCCTCAATAGTGGGCGTAGAACAGAGGCAGGTTGTGTTGTGATGGGAAGTGTAGAGGCAATGGGGGTCTGAATAGTAGAGTAGATCATCCCATCAGCAGACCTAATAGCAGCAGGGTACATGGCTCTGAGACTGGCCTGTCTTGCATTGATAAGGTTGGTTAATGCTTGACTGTGGGAGATTGGCTTCCCATCAAGTCCAAAAAAGTGGTTTTGTCTCATGCCAAGACCTGCTGCTAGTCGGGAGGCCCCAGGTCCGGTTCCTCTCCCCAAATTACCAAACTGCATCAAGTCTGGGTTGCTTGCATATCGATCTATGGAATTGAGAGCTGCACACATCCGGCTGATCTCTCTGGCAGTTGTAGCACTGTACTGAGCTAAGTTAGCTTCTTGGAAATTAGCAATGTCTCGAGCAGAGTATCCATAGTCTGAACTGATGTTGGACAAGGAATTATATCTCCTTATAGGCAGCGTTTGGGCTGTGATGTCTCCTCCATGGCGTAAATCTGTATAGGAGCCATACTGCATCCCCATAAATCCTCCATAACCCTGTTTCATAGCAGTTAGATCCATGGCAAGTTCTCCTGGGCCTTGGAGATGTGGTTCTAGCTTAGGATGATAAGACTGTACCCCAGCTTCAGCTAGGTTTGTATCAGACATTGAAGGCTGGAGCCTTCCAGGGAAAGGTAGTGTGTAGGCCTTACGCTCATCCATTGGATATTCATGATACCCTTCGGGTAGTCTTTCTTGGTCTGACTCATAGGTAAGTGGTGGGGCAGATGGAGGTCGTATTCCCTCTTTCTCACCACCAACACAGCTTCCGCCAAATGGAAGTCGGTAAACAACATCACAGCAAGCTGGTTGGTTTTCAGGTTTAATTTGGCCTCCTGTCAGGTCCATAGCATCCTGTCCTACTTCTACTGTCAAAAGCTGAGTCATTGCCCTGGCCTGCTCTGGCCCTCCATCCATCTGTACTACCATGCTATGTGATAAATTACTTCCTGATATCGAACCAGGAGGACTAGGCTTCCCTTTCAGCTCAACAGGACCAGTGCCATACAGATCAGGGTTAATGACCGGTGATACAGCACTGACGACAGCTGAGGCGGTGCTTGTCTGACTGACAAGTAGATCTTTTTTCAGTAAAGGTGAGATCTGGCCTGTAAGGCTGTACCTAGCCAAAGCAGATGCCTGTTGCTGGTGATGTTGCATCTGATGGTGCTGCTGCAACTGGTGTTCAAGGAGCTGTTGTTGTTTCTGTAGCTTCTCTTGCTGTATTTGTAGCTCTCTCTGTTGGATACTGAGGTCTTCCAGTTTGGCATCAATTTTGGGTATTGTTGGGTCAGTTGGAGGTGAAATTGGTGGTCTGTTTTGGGAAAGACACACAGCCGAACCAATGCCCTGACCCAAATCCATTTGGTATTGATGGGGATCACCATAGATTGTTGGCTGTTTTGGCTGGGTCATGAACATGGACGCAGCCACTGTGACACTCACAGTTGTTGGTGTGATTATCTCCTGGGTATTCAAGTTCATAATCAGTGGCTGCACAATCGTGGAATGTCTACTACCGTCTGATCCACCATGGTATTTCCTGCTTTCAGTGGCCAAGGAGGTGAGATCCATTCCCTGGTCAGTCATGATAGTAGGAGCTGGTTTGCTTGCTGTTCTGAGGTCCACAACACTTCCGCCTTGGATCATACGGCCCTGCTCTACCCTAGAAGTACCCGGGACTGTAGATATTCGGCAGAGGGAGATGTTGTCCATTGACATGGACCCTCTAGTGTAAGTGCCGGCTGTGGTGACCATACTTGTTCCCACATTTACTTTCTCCACCCTTTGTGTTCGGTAGAAGCTACGTGTAGGGGAATGTTGGTACGGTGGTGTGTCCGGAGGGCTGCTACATGGGGAGTAATTGTCAAATGTTGATTGGCGGCTAAATCGGGTAGGCGATGACAGGGGAGAAGTAGCTGTGTTGACTGTCATTGGTCTAGCCTGACCTGGCGGTGGGGAGTACTGTACATCCTGGGAGGACTGCTGACGATGGAGCCTTGGGGAAACTGATCGATGAGATGTTTGGGTCCCCTGCGCTGTCACTGGAGATGTAGGTCCGGATACAGCTGACTCAGACATCCGCAATGCTGAACTGAACGTCTGTGTAGAGAATTCAGCTGTATTCCTTCTGGAGGGTGAACGAGTAGGACTCTGTGGTGGTGGTGGTGATGGAGAAAGAGGAGGACTGGTGCTCCTGTAGTATGTAGTATACTTTGGGGAGCGTGGCTCAATAACTCTCTCGGTGGACGATGTTGAGCTGTCTCGCACTTGGACATCCCTAGCTTCCCCTACCCTTCTGGTAATCACTTCTCGTTGACTGTAGGCCTGGGTTATCTCTGCAATCTTGCTGCAGACACTTGAGACTGTAGTTGAAGATGTGGTAGGGCTTGAAGTGTGACGGCCATATATACCTGACTGAGTAGTCGTCATAGTGGGGCTTGAACTAGTCTGAGAAATAGTCACTGCATCCCTGGCATAGACTCCATAAGCTGCAATGGTGGTGGCAGCTACTGTTGGAGTTATTCCATTCTTTCCTGCTTGGGTTTTAATCCTATCTTTGTGACCATCCTTTGCAGAGAAATGCTGTGTTACTCTGACATCAGGAATTCGTCCTCCAGTCTCAACAAAGGAGACAGGAGCTGAGATCTGGGTGGGGCTGGTCCCTGGAGTGAGTAGAGCATTGCTCTGCTCCAACAGCTTAGCAAAAGCTGAGCCTGTGTCTAGGAGCTGTTTGTCTGAGTAGGAGCTCTCAATCTCAATCTCTACTTGCTCATTAGTGGCCTGCTGCATCTTGGTAATGTTCTGAGATGTTTGTCTGATCTCCTCGTAAATATCTTTTTCTGTCTCTGCTGCCTCATTATCATACCCTGCTTGATGTTGGTCATATTCATACTCTTCTTCATAACCTTGTCCATTAACGTCCTCCTCATAGTACTGCCCATGTCTTCCATGTTGCTGCTGTTGCTGCTGTTGTTGTTTCTGAAGCACCTCTGCCTTCTTCATCATCTCCTCATAAACCTCCTCAGCGCTCTTCAGGGATTTGGAAGCTGACGATGGTGCTGTGGTGGTGGTTGTAGTTGATGATTTCTCTATTGGTGAGTAGAGAGACATAAAGGTAGGCAAGTTGTATTCACTGCCTGACTTGTAAAGTTTGGACTCGTATCCCTCAGCCTCTGAATCCAGACTCTGAGGGGAATATTCAGAAGCAGAAGAACGATGCAACTCTTCCATTTCTGCAGCTTGTCTCAGCTCTTCTGTCGGAGAAGCATCTTCTATGGGTGAGAGATTGCTAGGCGGTGTCTTAGACCTCTCTCTGCGCCTCTGAGCCCTCAACTCCTCTTTGTCCCTCTTGGTCTTTCTGGCTGTGCTCCTTATTCTCTGCTGTTCCACCTCCCTCATCTTCTCCTGTTCTCTTAAAAGTTCTTCTTCTTCTCTCAGTTCATCTTCTTCTGAAGAGTCTTCAATGGTGGGAAGGAGGGGGCCATGGGAGCGGTGGCGTGCTTTCCTCTGTTGCTTGGCCTCTTCTAGCTTTTGCCTCCTGCTGGGGCTACTGTCACTGTCCTCTTCCATTGATGAGATGGAAGTAGGTGACTGGCCTGAGCCATATGACGATGACGTGGCTGGCAGAGTAGAGGAGTAGTCACCGCGAGAACGCTCCTCTGGAGATCCTGTTAGGCTCTCCATCTCTAGCTCTGGTTCCCGATCAAGGCTCAAGTCATTTTCGTTGCCCAGCTCCATATCTCGGCTGTAGCTATTGGTGTTATTGAGTTCAATTGTTTTGAAGCGCCTCAAGCCTCCTTGTGATGCCATCACATCTTCCTCACCCTCCTCCAGTGAGCCTTTATAAACATCAGTAGAGCTCTTAGGTTCCTCCTCAAAACTGCTGGAGTGGTGCTGAAGACGTCTTTTCTCTTTCCCTGAGTCAGAGATCATGTGTTTGTGGTGGTTTTTCTTGGGTTTCTGGTAGCCATATCCTTCATCTTCCTCATCTTCCTCCTCCTCCATCTCATCCTCTTCCTCCTCATTATCTTCATCAGCACTCATCTCCATTATTTGTCTCCTCATGAACTCCTCATCTGTCATCTCTGTGGGCTCAGTTTCTTTTTCCTTCTTTTTCTTCTCTTTCTTCTCCTCCTTTCCTTCCTTCCGCTTAACCTCCCAGTCTCCTCCATCTTCTTCTTCTTCTAGTATATCTTCTAGTTCCTCATCAGAGTCGTAGGAATCGGGCGGGATTGACAAGGAGCGTGGGCGCTGCTTCCCTCTGTCATCCAAGTCTCTGTCTCTGTGCTTCCTTCCCCGTCTGTCCACCTTCTCTTCAGAAAGGCTCTTCTCCAACAGAGGCCTCATAGAGCTCTCGAGCTTGGTGATTTCAGAAGGACTTGGTGGGGAACCCCGCCCACTGATCCCCCTCTCACTCAGTTTCATTTCCTCTTCCTGGATTAGACCCGTGATTTCACTGTGGGAACTGGAGATACCATCCGAGGAGTAGCCGGTGTCACTGAGGCTTTGAGGGCTGCGTGACAAGTCATGGGTGCTGTTGTTTTTTGTATCCTAAGGAGAGAACAAGAAAGAAGAAAAAAATAATTTTAATTTAGGGGTTTAATTTAAGTACTAATTTAGACAAAGTGAAAATGTTTTGATTCTGGATGAGCATATTTGTATGTTTAAAATTTAAGCCAACATATATATTTAGATTTTGGTATGCGGATGTGAAATTAAGTAGTTACTGTTTAATTAAAAGGGAATTCCAGAACAGGTTGATAAATGTCATCATTGCCTCTTTAATATGGGACCAAATGTATTGACTTTAAAGTTATTTCATACAATAAGTCGCAAAATGGAGAAGAGAGTTAATAGTATAATAAACAACGAATCACCTATTATTCAGTTATTGTTAAGTTGCTTATGGTTGGTAGGTTTGTAAAGAATTTTGAGCCATTGATGGAAAGCCATTATTTTAACTTTATATATTGAGAGTGTTTCTGTTTTGTGATGATGAGCAAAACAGAAACACTACCCAGAACTTCTTCACCAATGAATCTACCTTAGATATGTGTTAATAACATGCCAAAGTATAATCTCAAATGGACTGACCTGGTAAATGAACGGCAGATGAAGGACACAATATAAAATAGACACACTATGGAAATGTTTTGAGTCAGAAAAGACATTATTTGTTTCTCTCTCACTCTCATGCTGTCTTCTCAAGGCAGTCCACACTGCCAATTGCAAAATCTGCATTATTTGAGGACGGATAACTTGCTTTTGAAAGAAACATACATTAACTATAAAAGATTTTAATTAACCAAGCTCCTAGAAAATCTTCAGTTAGGTCATAACGTAACTGTATTTTTCAGAGGTTATTATCAACTTCAAAATAAAGGAAAAAATCTTCATTTGTCACCAATCTGAAGAGATGTAATTCCAATGACAGTACAAGGACATTTTTTGTTTGTGTTTTAAACATATTGAGACATTTTGTACAAGAGGTGTGAGAGAGAGTGTCTCAGTAGTTAAGTCCTAAACAGCCCCTCATAGAAAATAAAGCTTTAGAGTTCATAATTATCTAAAAAACAGAGTTAAATGTAACTGTGAATGAAGGATAGAAACAAAGTAACATGGCAAGAGCCCATGTTCAACTTCCAGTTCAATTTAAGAGGACAACAACTTTAAAGTATTTTACGGATCACTGACCAGTTACAAAATTCAATTATATTCATATGAGCCTGTGGCATCTTAGAAATCTCTGATTTGTGTTGAAAACATATACTTATACATATACTAAAGAAGCTGGGACTCACATATTTACTACATACTGTTTTTTATTTTATCAGGAGGAGACCGAGTACTGTAAGAACTCCTCCACAAGTTTCTCCTGGTGCTGCACTTGCGTTATTTGGCCTCCTTAATGCCAAACTAATGTAATCTCACAGAAGTGACCTTTTTCATAATCATCCCCTAAATACGTCACATAAGCTATATTCACAGTAGCATGAATGACCTTAAGATGCCACCTTCAATCATTTACTTACATCTGGATTCTAAACACAGCCGTCAAAACCTTGAAGAAAACGCTGGAGGGAATCTAATGTGGCAACAGGCAGCGGGTCGTTGGCAGGATCCATTTCCCAGGTGTCAGATAAAACACACAAGTTCTGAACCCCAATGGTCACATGGTTCATTTATCACATGCACTACTTCTAGTCTAAATCTTGGGTCTGATTCTACTGAGGACAGCAATGTTTGCCACTTTGGTGATGCACAAGTGTCTGGTTTGGATTCTAGTTTTTAACTACTGAGTCCTGTTTCTATACACCTGAAATTCCTCCACCCTCCTACTCCGCCTAGTTTCACACCTCTGAATTGTAGACCACATCTCTGATTCATCACTAGCGACTCCCAGCTTAGTGGAACTAAGAACCAAGATGCTACTTAGCTACTATTATGAAAATAGCAACATAAATATGGCATGAAGCATGGATCAGAGTGACACAGAGACTCATCTTATGGCAAAACATAACGCAACACAAACACAATGTAAGTCGAAATGAAAGAAGTAAAATAAGATGGCAGCTCTGTGTTTTAATCAGGCTAACCCAGCCCCTCTTTCACTAACGTCAGTGACTCGGTTAAAATTTGGGGAAAGATGAAATATCCCTGGAGTCTTTTCACGTTTCAAGATGGATCAAGTTTACATAATACATAATCATCTGTATTGCAGCCCTGTTATCATTGACATTTTCCTCATGTCTTAGCTCTTAGCTACAAACTACACCTGTCCGGTGTTTAGCAAGAGCTTCCATTTAGCTCATTAAGCGTTGATGGAAAAACTAAATGAATGTGAAGCAGGTGCACGCTGAAACAGCCATGCGTAACTTGCATGCATGCTGTCACAGTTAACATGGTCACGCAACAATAGCCAGCCTTGGAACATTGGCCTGTATGTTAAACTATGGTTCCCGCAGAATCATCGGTAAAAATCTGTATATTTTTTACTTTTCCATAGCTTAACATAGACAGTATGTTACCGGACGAAAGCAATGTTAAAAAAACTAAATGAGACTTACATCATAGTGCCTGGACTTCTTGATTTCCTTGATAGGTGTGATCTGCTCTCCTTTCCTCTGGGAGGCTTTGGTGTCTTTGCCGATTTTGTTCTCAGGCTCGGTTTTGGGTTTCTCCTGTGAGGCCTTTGGCTGTTTCTGGGTGTCTGCGGTCGACAACGGTGCCGTAGCTGGTGTTGCGGTCTTGGGGTCGGTCGGTTGTTTGGCGGCGCTGGGCGCAAACGATCCACTACCACCGGTTCCCGCCAGCGCTTTCTGCGCGGGGGGTTGCGTGGGCCTGGGCCCCTGCTGATTGGTGGGTTTATGGAGAGGGCTTGGCTGACTGGCTGGCGCCTGCTGACGGGGCGAGCCCATTGGCTGGTGCTTGGGCGACGGGTGAGGAACGGGAAGTGGGGGATCATCGAGGCCGCCTCCGGACATGAGCCGCTGCGTCTGGCAGTTGAGACATAACCACTCCTTTTTCTGGACAGAAGACAAAAAACAAACACAGTTAGTGACAAGTAGCTTGTTTTTGACCACTACAAGTGCTTTTTATTACATTTTGTTTATAATATGGTAACGGAAAAGGTATGTTTTATAGCTTTTCTATATTACAAAAACGCAGTTCTAGTTTCAAAGCATTAACACTAATGTTGGGGAAAGGCAAAAAGTAGATAGTGGTCACATAAAAATACAACAGAAAAGCCAACCAGATAAGTTTTAAACTAGGTTTTTCTGTCTTGAATGGACTGTTCAATGGACAAAGACGTTCATCAGCGAACAGTAAAGAGTACAACAATATGTGAATATGAGTTGACTGTGTGACTTAAGGCCATTTCACCTCCTGTCCATCATCAACTGGTCTAGTAAAATGGTGCGTTGTCATTTTACTTCTCATGTAGGATAAGATTGATGATTCATGATGAATTATTGCACAAATTAATAATCCCAATATGTCGGAGAAACAGCAGCGCACACAGAATTAAATGCCCAAACTGTAGACACACATCTGTCACAGCTGCAGCAAGCTGAGCTGACGTAGGTTTCTAGAAGGCCGAGCCACTCTGATTGCTGCACCCTATTTCCATTGCACTGTGGGGCCGACTGATGACAAACTAGACAGCGAAACTCCGGCTCACATTCTGAACAAACGTCATCTGTCTTTTGCTTCTGCTCTAACTCGTTTCCATTTGTGCTGGTGTAAATTCAAAAGAACAAAATTGAGCATCGACAGCCGCCAGGGCCAAAGACTGAGAAAAGGTCACTGTCCTTGCCCCAGTATTTGATTGACAGGTAATCACTTGGAGGGACGAACAGAAATTCCCAAATAGGGAGTTTTTCAAAATGGTGACTTAAATAATATGCAATGCTCTTTTTGCAGTATCTCTCCCCTATACACTCTCTCTCTTTCTCTCTCTGCATCCTGGAGAGTAACTGAACTTGTTTTGGACCGAAGAGCGGCCATATTACTCATGCAATAAATAACTAAAAGATGCTTTCGCTCCCAAACACTTATCTTCCATCTTTTTCCAGCCACTCACCAAATCCTCTCTACTCAAAACTCTCGCTGACTCTCATACTCTTCCTCCTCTCTCTTTCCATCTCCACTCTTATTCTTGATCAACCACATCTGCATCTCTCTGAGTCCCTTTGAGATTTTGGTTATTAAGGGTCATAGTCACTTAATGCTGCTTTGGATTAGAGTGATAGTGCTTATGGCCACCATTACACACTACCAAGGCATTCATTGTTCAGTATAACATTCGTATGCATATACAACTACATCCAATTTACTGCTTCACTCTCTATTAAGGCCTCATTCCAGGACTGTCCAGTGTTTTAGACTGGAAAGAGAAAGAAGAAGTACATTTGAATGTACTTCTGGAAGAATGTAAGGAAGGATGCAGGTGTGACCATAATACTGTTTCTTTTCTCAATTATTTGATTTATTCAAATGAAATGAAATGAAAGTAAAGGTAAAAGTTTCTCCCTACGTCCACTCGCAGGGCTATTTTCTGTTGATCTCAGATCGAAAGTGAAACAAACGAACGATGAGCGTCAAAACATTTGTGCACCCTGATCTGCAGACAACACTTCATTTGATTGTTCTTGGCTTCGTGAGCACAATATAAAAAAGTAACAATCATTTGAGAAGCTGGAAGCAGCAAACACCTACTGTTTGTGTGTTTGTGCGTGCAGCACACTGTACAGTAGAAGCCTGCGAGACCGTTGAATAGTCTTTCGACACTAGAGTGAACTCATTCCTCCGTTCCCCAGAGCACATTCAGTCCCACGGATCGTATCTCGTGTGTGTTTGCGTGTGCGTGTGTTGTTGAACAGAGTGGCCCATTGCTGCAACACTTAACCTACATAGAGCAAACGCTCGGGCCTTTTGTCCTCCGCTCAACATGCACAGAATCGTCCATCAGTTCTCATTCTGAGTTTGGCATAATGCGTTCATTGCATATAAATCTCTTCCTTTGATTTGATTTATGATAAACTCACCACTGTGTTAAACCCTGTTTGCATCCCTCGGCCATCACAGGCCTTATTCACCAAACTCAGGCCTACTTATTCACCAATTAGGGAGACATATTTGTCTCATTTGATACGAGGGGACACCTCCTTCCTTATTCTTTCCCCTGTATCTTTTCATTTAACTACTTTTACTACTGCTACTTCCATGAAACTAAGGGGTTATGTAGACAAAGGAAGTGTCCGCAACTTGAATCACATAATTTGTCAGGAAAAAAAACTATATTATGAGAAATTATGTGGAACTAGAAAAAAGGTAATTTGGAATCTATTGAGGGAACCAACACTGTCCTTAGAAAGGTTCCTGGAAATCAGTGCAGTAGAATCTGAGATGCTCCGATCCAGAAAAAGGGTTAATGGTAATTAACATTCATTTTTTTAAAGTACTGCATATATTTAATATGTTTTAAAGTATATTAATAACGGAAAATGTTCATCTTTAAATATTCTTTTTTTTAAATACATTTTTCCCAATCACATCCGGACTACACAGCTTCTCTGCTTCTCCACGTTTCACCTGTGACTCATTCTCATCCTTTTATTTTTGTGTTTCACACATTTGCACCTGCAGTTTCTCTCCTTTCTGTCTTCACTACATTAGACTTCCACTCTCCTCCGTCTCCTTTCCTCTCCCTCCAACAGAGAGCTATTTTTACCCAGCATGCCATTGTTCTGCTCGATCGCACACTTCCCCAGCACTGGCTGCCACCTTAGGCGGCACTCTAATGCAACACAACTACACGCACACAGACACACACAGACGCACACGGGGAGAGTCACACGGTTCACGTCAGCGCAAAACGGAGGAGGCCTGTATAGCTGAAGGCTCACCAGAAGGAGAGAGAGATGACAAGCAGAAGGAGGACGAGGGGGGGGGAGGAGCCCACCGGGGCGAAGGAGAGGAGAGACGGGGAGGTGAGCGACTACACGCGAGCATGCGAGTGCGTGCACGTGCACAATCAGCTCAGCCTGCAGCAATGTGGCTCCGTGCGTCTGAGGTACGTTGCTCGACATGGAAGCCGAGGAGAGAGGACATGGACAGAGACTGTTTTTTGGAGGAAGTGTGATGGAGGCCGTGTTAGGTTGGTCTGGGACGCCGGTCGTCACGTTCTTGTACAACGCAGGTGCCACAGGAAGGTGGTTTGTGTCATAAAAGCATTGAGAGAAATCATTCTCCAGTGGCGTGAAAAACTGATTAATTACGTTCACATGCTTTTGGAGATTTGCCACTTTCTGGATACAACTGGTAAAATTCTATCCTCATAATGTTGACAAGAACTTTTTAAATTGATGAGAAATGACTGATTTCGTGGGGAAGAGACTGAAAGAATAAGATGTCTTCAAAGCATCTTTATGAACCTTCATATTTAAACAAAAGGTTTCTTCCTGCTTTCCAAAATAATACTAAATAACTAAGTTTGGAAATAAAAAAAGGCAAAGATGAGAGAAAAACGCTGTTACAGGATGAAATCATGGCGTGTGCATACTAACATATTCAGTATCACACACACATGTGTAAAACATACACATACATACACACACACACACACACACACGCTTAATGCCCTTGCACACATGCATGTCCTATGGGGAACCAGCTAGGGATCCTCCTGTAAATAGCACAAGTGACATTTATGAAATTAAAGTCCCTAATTATTTTGATAACCATAAACACACACACACACACACACACACACACACACACTGGTTGGATTCAAGCCGGGTGATTTCATCTAATACCCTTTGTACTATAAGAAGCAAGAGCGGCAGTGGTATAGAGAAAACGAGCAGGAGAGGAGGAGGCGAAGAGCTGAGGTATTAAAAGCAGGAGGAGAACAATTTAGATGTGAAGGGGAGGAGAGCATGAACAAGGAAGAGAGCTCAATGAAGAGTGAAAAGAGGGAATGAAAAATAAGAGCAAAATAATCTAGAGAAAGGGAGGAAGTATAGTCAAGAAGGGGTGCAAACCAGTGAAGGAAAGCATAAGTAAGGAAACGAGTGAGGAGCAAAGAAGAGGAAAGGAAGTGAGGAAAGAGAGGGGAGAGGCAGCATGGAGCCGCTTTATTACGCAACCTTGCAGTGAGAGGCAAGACGAGTGGGCACTAGGCTGCGCAGTACATGTGTGTGTGTGTGTGTTTGTGTTAATGTGTTGACATTATGTTTCATTGCCGTCACTTCTTTCACATCCTTCCCATTGTCTGTCTTTGGCCGGGCAACAAGCAATTAGTCCGAGAGGCGATGTAAGCTCCTTGCTCTGCCGATTGCATGTGTGGGAGGATCTCATTTGCATACAATATGCTGTAAATACAGACCTGCCACAATGACGAATTAGAACATTTACCAAAACAAAAACTGTGAGCGTCGTAATCTGACGAAACTGTCCGAGGGACATTTAAGTTCCACCATATGACTAAAAGATTCGGAAGAAGAAAGAACTAAAGCCGCGGCGACGCAGTAGCCTCACACAGCTGGTAAGTATGTAATTGTGTTGTGTGGCCTTTCTAAAAACATCACAGCATTTGACATCTGTTCTGACAGAAGAAGAAAAATGCCTAAGCAGCAATGCAAGAAGTTAAATACACAGCAAAATTCTTAGAGTTAATTTTCCGTTATTTGGCAAAAGTGTAGAAGTGCTTGGAAGTTGAAATCACACTGCAAAAAGTGATTCAACTCTTACAGAGCCAATTGTACGAAGTGGCTGGAGTCATTATCCAGTGTCAAGATCAGATTCATTTGTGACACTTAGTAGAGTTAAATTAACTCTTTGATAGGTTTGAAATGTAACTGTACAGTATATACAGTTAAATCTACTGTGGCACATGGATTGGAGAGGGTGAGCCAGGAACCACAAGGTTGGCGGTTTGAACCCCGTCCCATGTCCCCCGTCCCTGAGCAAGACACCTAACCCCTAATTGCTCCCCAGGCTACAAAACCATGGGTTAAAAATG